GTGGCTGTATTTGGCGAGAGGGCCTCTAAGAAATAATTAAGCCTGACTGAGGCCACAGAGCTGGGCCCCTGATCCAATAGGACTAGTGTCCTTATGAGGGACACCAGAGAGCTGGCACTCCGCCCCCACCCCTCCCTGTGGACAGGCACCCAGGGAAGACCACGCAGAGAACAGCAGGACAGAGGCTGCGTGTGCAGCGGGAAGAGAGCCCTTGCCAGAAACCATGTTGGACGAAACCTTGATCTTGGACTTCTGACGACCAGAGCTGCGAGGAAACAAGCTCCGTTGCTGAGGCCTCCAGTCTGTGGCATTTTTTATGGAAGTCATGGCAAACTAACCACGTTCCTTTGGCTCAAGGTTTTTCAGGGGACTGTAGTCAAACCGTCAGCCAGGATCAGCTCGATGCATGAACAACGAAGCTTGCTCAAATGGTGTCGAGAAGATTTGGTTCTGAGGGTCTTGGGCCGAAGGCCTCAATTTTCACAGCTGGTTCCAAGAGGCCTCACCCCATTCTGCGGCGCAGGGGACCTCCAGAGGACAGCCCGCAGCCTGGCAGCCGCTTCCATCAGGGGAAGGAGAGAGGAGGAGAGGCTGCCGGAGGCGGAAGCCGGTCTTCTCTGCGCCCTCCTCTGAGCGGTGGCATCTGATCGCCTCCCTAGTCATCAGAGGCGCCACTGTACCGAGCCCACGCTCAAGGAGAGGGAACCACACAAGGGCCTAAACAGTAGGAGCTGGGGACGGCTGGGGGCCGGCGGCCGTTGCCCCGGTGTGGGGCCGTCCTGGAGGCGCTCTGCCGCAGCTCTCAGGGACCAAATCTGAGACAACTGGAGCAACACAGGCGGAATGAAACGGAATAAATCCTAAGGGCCCACACTTATATAAACAACATAAATAAGTGAGCGAATAAATAAACAGGGGAGAAAGGACAACTCTCCCTTTCAGTAAAATGCTATTTAATAAGTGTAGAAAGTAAACTAGAAATAGGAAATTACCATCTGATAAACACCACATTAATCATTGCTGTAGGAAAGAGTGGCATCTAAAATTAACAGATGAAAGTATGATAAAAATATTTATTAATACAAGTTTCAAAGTTTCTCCCCACAAGCTACTTACTTAGAATGAGAATTTTTTAACTTCACAGTGGAGAAACCTGACAAATATCAACAAAGTGATCCCACTTAACCAGCCATACTTGCCCATGTCAGGCACCCTCCGATGTGTCTGATACACCAAGAGGCACATCTCTGCTGTTAGTCTCCTGCAAATGTGAGATTTCGATTTCCTCAGTCAGAAAACCCAGATGACACACTACAAAATAACTTTCCAATACTCTTCAAAAGTGTCAAAAGACAAAGAAATACTAAAAAAAATGTCTAAAATTGCAGGAGGCCAAAGTGGCAGGATGAACAAATGCAACATGGGGTCCTATCTCGGATTCTGCACCAGAAAAGGGACATTAATAAACTAGTGAAATTTGAATAAAGTCTGTAAGTAGTTCATAGTATTGTATAGATGTTAATTTTCTGGATAATTCTATTACAGTTCTATAATATCCTAATGTGAGCGGAAACTGAGTAAAAAGTATACAAGAACTCTGTGTGTTGTTCTTCTTTTAAAGAGCTTTACAGACATATAATTTTCCATTAGCAACCATTGCCTATTCCCCCACTCCCTCAGCCCTAGGCAACCAGTAAACTACTTTCTGTCTTTATGGAGTTGCTTATTCTGAATATTTCATATAAATGCACTCATACAATTCTTGGCCTTCACATAATGTTTTCAAGTTTCATCCACTGTTACATATTGAATTGTGTCCCCCCCCCAAAAAAAAAAGATTTGGAAATCTTAATGCCCAGTGTCTGTGAATGTGAATTTATTTGAAAATTGGGTCTTTGCAGGTAGAAGGTAAGATGAGGGCTTTGCGGCAGGAGGGGTTGCAGCTAACCCAACAAAATTGAGTTCTTATAAAAAGGGGAAGTCTGGACACAGAGACCGATGTACAGTGACCTCAAGACACAGGAAGAGCACTGTCTACAAGCCAAGGAACGACTGAGGCCCAGAAGCTGGAAGAAAGGCTTGCAAGGTGCTCCCTCACAGCCCTCGGAAGGAACCAACCCCGTTGATACCTTGATTCCAGACTTCTAGCCTCCAAAACTGTGACACTATAAATTTCTGTTAAGCCACACAGTTACTTTATTATGACAACCCCAGCGATCTAACTTATCCATGTTGTAGCAGTACCTCCCTCCTATAGCCAAAAATAGTCCATTGTTGATATATTACATTCTTGTTTATCCAGTCAACTTTTGGGTTGTTTTGACCTTTTTGACCAGAATGAAAAATGCAGCTTATAAACACCTGTGTTTCTGTGTGGAAATGTTTTAATTTCTCTTGGGTATATACCTAAGAATGGAATTGCTAGGTCATATAATTCTGTATTTCACTTTTTAAGGAACTGCCAAACTTTTCCGAAGTAGCCGCACCACTCCACAGTCCCCCAGTGAGAGTGCGAGGGCTCCGCCATCTCTGCGTCTTCAGCAAAGCTGTAATTGTTGTCCTTCTGATTACGGCCATGGGGGAGGACGGGAAGTGGTACCTAACTGTGGCTTGGCTTTGCATTTCCCTAATGGATAACAAAGTTGACCGTTGCTGTTTGATGTGCCTAATCAGTATTTTCTATATTTCCTTTGAGGTAATTTCTATTCAGATCCTTTGCCAAGTTGGTTTTTTTGGAGGGTTTTTTTTGGTCTTTTATTTTATTTTTTGAGTTCTAAAAGTTCCTTTAAGTATTCTGGACACTGAACCCTTACCGATATATGATTTGCAAATAGTTGCTCCCGTTCTATGGGGTGTCTTTTTGCTTCCTTGATGATGCTGTTTAAAGCACAAAAATTTTAAATTTTTATGAAGTCCAATTTATCAACTTTATAATATTTTTTATGTTTGCAACACTTCGGTACATCTAAAATTACTTCAGGCCCTGGTCAGGTAGCTCAGTTGGTTAGAGCGTCATTCCGATCGCCCAGGTTGCAGGTTGGATCCCTGATCAGGGCACATACAAGAAGCAACCAACAGCCCTGGCTGGGTAGCCCCGTTGTTTAGAGCGTCACCGGGATGTACCTGACCTGTGGCTTCCGTTCCCAGCAGGGGCACGGCAGGGAGCAGCCCATGATTGCAAGGGCGGTTGGAGCAAAAGATCAATGGTGTCTTTTTTCCTCTCCCTCCCCCCGACTTCCTCTCTCTCTATAATTACTACATTAAAAAAATTTTAAGAAGCAACCAAAGAATGCGTAAAAAAGTGGAGCAAATCTGTTTCTCTCCTTCTCTCTCTTAAAAAATCAATTAAAAATATTTTTAAATAAAATTATTTCAAAATAAAAAACTATGTACAAAAAGTTCAAATAACCATGCACTAAACTACTAACAGAAAATAGAAATGAAATTTTTATTTGCTATTCCACACCAAGTTGTTTCTTTTCCTTTCTCTGTATTAAACAAGTGATGCAAATTCTCAGTGAATGTTGGAAGTTAACATCATTAGTAAGGTCGCCATCCAGAGATAACCATCATTCTCACGGAGGTTAATCTCCTTCAGAAATACGTAAACACACAGAAAGTCAGGATCCGTTGTTCTCCGGGGGCACCGCTGTACAAACAAAGCGGGTCTGGCCGGTCAGAGACAGACGGGGACGGCAGAGCAACAGGCGGAGGAGCTCTGCCCGAGCCCCCGGAGAGGGCGCGGCTCTTGAACTGCGCTTGCGAGCGGGGCGACGGCTCCGTTTCGAGGGGAGGGAAGCGGGGCTTTCCCGACAGCGGGCGGCCAGGACTGAAGGAATGCAGTGCGGGCAGCGATGGAAACGTTGCCAGGAAGCCTGGCAGGACGATACTGAAAGCTGAAGGGCCTTGGGTGACCGTGGAGGTGACCCTTTCGGGGCATCCTTGCGGTTTTAGGCAAGGCTGCATCGTGACCGGATGGAATTTGAGAGAGGCCTGAAGTGCTGTGTAAGAGAGACTGGGGGAATGAGCGAAGGGGAGGCAGGGCCTCGGCCAGGGGACCACGGGCATGTCTGTGCACTGAGGGCCGACACGTCGGTGACCGTGTGTCCTGTTTGACCAGAGGCAGCCTCGGATTGCACTTCCGTCCTGGAGCAATTATACCGCGCCCTGTGCCAGCCTCACCAGTGTCTGTTTGGAGGATCACTGTCCATACACACACACAGTGGAACCCACAATCTTTACAACGTGAGGCCCACTGATATTTTGTATTATATTTTATTTATTTTTTTTAAATTATTTATTTATAGACAGAGGGGAAGGGAGGGAGAGGGAGGGAAACATCCACGCGTGACTGCCTCTCGCGCGCCCCCTGCTGGTGAGCCGGGCGCACCCCAGGCCTGGGCCCCAATTGGGCTTCAAACCGCGGACCCTCCGATTGGCAGGCGGCGCGCAGTCCGCTGAGCCCCACCAGCCAGGGCTGTTTTATTTTTTTTAGGGTTCGTTGCAACCCATTCAACTTATTTCGGGGCACACTAACTGTTCCTAACCCAGTTTGGAAAGCTCCGTCCTAGATGCCTGCAGGTCTCAGGAAATGGGGAAAGGGACAGAGGCCTAAGCTCAGACACGGTCGGCTGAAGGCCACACCAAAACCGTCGCACAGGACTGGAAACGCGCGTCTCCACGCCCGCCGCGTCCCTGGCGGTGTTCGCTGTGTTTCTGTGGAAACGGCTGGGATACATTTGACACCTAGCACTTAAAAGGCTGTGAATACTTACACACTCAAGGTCAAGTCAGGGCTGAGAGCCACTACGTGACAGCCGGGGAGGGCGCCCGGAAGGGGGCACCGAGAGCACGGCCGCCGCCCCGCCGGCGCTTGACGATCGCTGTTGCTCCCCGCCGCCTCCCGCGGCCTGCAGGGCCACAGCGCCTCACGGCGCCCCCACGCGGACGCCGGCCCACAGGGCCCTGCGGCGCCCCCACGCGGAGGACGGCCCACAGGGCCCCGCGGCGCCCGCGCGCGGGCGGCCGTTCCTTTTGGCAACGGTGCGCCGCGGTGGCGGCGGCGGAGGCGGCAGCGGGTAGCCTCTGGCAGCCCTGAGCTGGCCGCCCAGTCCCCGGTAGCGGGGAAAGGATGGCGCTGAAGCGGATCCAGAAGGTCAGGAGCCCTCTGGTCCTCAGGCTCCTTGCGAGTCTGAAGCGTAGTTCGCGGGCAGGGTGGTCACGGCCGTTCAGCGACCGTTGGCGGAGACGCCACGGAGGGAGGCCGAACCGCCGCTGGCGCAGCCTTAAGGGGGCGGGGCTGGCCCCCCGGCCGGGTGGTTCAGACGGTTAGAGCGCCAGGGTTGCGGGCGCTTCCCGGTCAGGGCACATGCAGAAGTAACCAATGAATACACGGATAAGTGGGACTGCAAATTGATGTTTCGCTCTCCCTACTCCTCCCCCCGCTATATATGTATTTGTATATAAATAAATAAATTTTAAACAGCGTTCGGCGCGCGGGTTGCGAGGGCCCAGCATCACGTGGTGCTTGCGTCCTGCCGGGCAGGCCGGGGGCCATCGTCACGTGGTCCTTGCAAAACGCGGGGCGAGGCCAGAGGAGCGGGGCAGCGCGCTGGCGCCGCACCTGCGACCTGCGTTCCCTTGCGCTTTGGTACCTGTTTCCTGTAAGGGAAGCTCAGGAACGTTTGCGCTTGTATTTTTCAAATCACAATGTTCTGCCTTAAAATCCCAATTAGCATTTGAAACTCCTCGGTGTTGGTTGGCGTCTATCGAGACTCGTAGTCTTTCAGGAAGTCTTGTCTTAGTAGCCATTCACCACACCCCTAAAGAGGGACACGCGATCCAGAGATCAGACGACCCAGGCAAACGCGCGGAGGGGCGGGGGAACCGGGTGAGCGGGGTCCTGCTCTGCACGTAGCCTCGCCAGGGTTTGTCCTGACAGCCCCGGTCTCCGCATTGTACGTGGTGGTGGGGGGTGAGGGCACAGGGCAGACGTGAGCAGTAAAGGAACCGTCACGGAGCTTTCTGTAGCCGCACTGCGTCTCTAAGCGTGTCTTCTGGTCCCCTCGTGTGACCTTAGCTGTTGCCCAAGTTCATTTCTATTGTGACAACCACTAGTGCTACTTACTATGTGCCTACCAAGGGCAACCCACTTGGACACATTAGATACTGAGAACGCGTGGGTGTTTACAAACCAACCCTCCAATAAAACGTAGCCCAGATTTGTATTGCTTGCTGGCTTCTGTGGTGTAAACACTCCTGCATGGCCAATATTTGTGGGGTAGCCCAGAGAGCGGGGCCGTGGGGGGAGGGGACCGGGAGGGTCAGCATGCCCTGAGACGCAGGTGGGATCGCGAGGGTCTCTGTAGATGAGCTCATTTTCAGGCTGCTCAGGCAGAAGGGGTGTCACCAGGCAGGTTTCAAGTCTGTGCATGTTCTCCAGACCCTGGGGTTTGCGTCCCCTGAGGAGTCGCCCTGCATCCTGATGGACCACGGTCTGTGCCTCCTTCCAGTGCTTTAGAACCTCTCCGGAAACCCCACGAAGTTTACCCAGATCTGTCTGGAGCCTGGGAGGATGGAGAATGTTAGGGAACATGCCAGTACGTGCGAACGAGAGTTCAAGAGCTCCTGCCCGAAGGCCTGGCCTCCGAGGCGCGTGCTGGCCCAGGGCGACCTGGGCGTCGGGGCCGGAGCGGCATCTCACAGAGGCAACTAGTTGGGGGGTTCCTTTTTGGATGCGGGTACGTGGGGTGGCTGTGTCAGATCGACTTGCATGTCCTCAGTCCCCCACTCAGAGACCTGGGCCTTGCCACATACCCAGCGGCAGTTCTGGTGGGAGGGGAGAAGGATGGAAGCCCAGGGGCTCTGTCCTTAACTGAGCACTCCCTTGGGGGTAAGTGCTTCCGCCATTCATTTGGGAGCTCAGAGCTGCAGCCCCGGCCGCTGCCCCCTAGTGGGTCAGAGGACCGGCTGCAGGGGAGGCAGGCCTCTCTGTTCTGCCCTCTCCGCGTTGCAACCTGGGGTAAGCAGCTTAACCTCTTGACATTTCGGTTTCCTGACTTACAGGATAGAAATGGTAACACATACTTGTCAGGTGACTTCACCGCCAGAGCAGACCTTCAGGTCACTCAGGTGCATTCGTGGAGCCAACACCCTCCTGAGGCCTAGGGGCCCCTCCCCCCGAGAGTGGCTTCTGGCCACGAGGTGCGGAGTGCAGAGCAGCACCCCAGCACACGCCGACTCGGGCCCACTTCTCGTGTCCTAGGAACTCACTGACTTGCAGAGGGACCCGCCTGCCCAGTGCTCCGCAGGACCTGTGGGAGACGACTGTGAGTATGTTTCAGGCTCCGGATCACAGGAGCTTTCAACCCAGACCCCCGACTTTATTAGCCCTGCAGTGTTTTGAAGAAAATCTGTTGTTTTCCCCTCATTTGCTTGTGAATTGCTTTTTCATTAGACCCATTGAGTTCATACTCTGGCTGATCAAGACAGTGCCTGAAATCACCACTTCCTTCCACTGGGTCCCTAGAAAGCCACCCCGTCCCGAAGCACGTTGGCTTCTACAAAGTGCCTCCGACCAACAAAAACTTGTGGTGTTGGTGTAAAAATGGTCATGGGGCTGGTTGTAGAGGACCTGCTGCTGCAGAACGCATGACCCTCACCGCTGCCAAGGGCAGGGCAGTGCGGGTGCTTCTCTCCCACCTCCGCTCCTCCCCAGTGGGGCACGGGCCCGCCCCCCGCCCCCCTTTACAGCTGACTGGCCGAGGCCACGCTGCCCCGCATGTGGGCTCCCCACGGGTGTATTCTGCTCCCATCTCACCTTCGCTCTCCCTCATCTCAATTGTGAGATGGTGTCAAAGAGGGGCGGTGGCCTCCACAGACACCAAAGACTTAAAAACAGGGACTCACACAGACCTCATGTGCCAATATGCACTGCGCCCTCATTCCCAGTCCCCCGAAGGCCTAAGTGCCCACCCCCAGATGGGCGAGTGAGCAAATGCGCTATCGGCACTCAGCAGCGCACCATGTAGCCATAGGAAGGGAGGGACTTCCGACGCATACTGCAGATGGGTGAGGCTTGAAAACATGCTACTCGTATGAGTCAAAAGGACTAACGTGTGGTTGCAGTCGTGTGAAATAGCCACACGAGGCCAGAGCGTGGAGACAGAAGGTGGAGTGCGGTTCACGGGGCTGAGGAGGTAGAAATGTGCAGAGTTGCTGCTCAGAGTCCTGAAAGGCCTGTCAGGGCGGTGGCTGGACAGCCTGGGTTCCCTGAAAGTGGCCAAGAGAACATTTTCCTATTTTTTACTTTTTGTTGTGTTGAAATGCACGTAACAAAGTTTACCGTCTTAACCATCGGCCCCCACACAGCTTGGTCAAGGAGGTCCATGCCTCTGTGCGGTCACCACTGCCTCCCACCCCCGTGACTCTGGTCCCCACCGTGTTGCGTGTGCGGCCACAGTGAAACGGGGCGGTTTCGCAGAGCTGGAGGAGAAGGGGAGGGGGCGCCACAGGCACCTGCTGGGGCCGCGGCTCGGACCCTGGGGTGGGGGGATGGGGCGCGGGGGGCGGCTGATGAACGAGGGGGCCGTGGTGCTTCTGTTTCCTGACGCTGCTGTCCCCGATCCATGCTGTCGTCCCGAGTGTCATAGCAGGTCTTCGTAGCATGTTTCTCCCATCACCTGTCACGACAATGCCAAACTAGGGTGGGGCTGATCCTGCTTCAGCCCAGCTTCCCAGCGGCACCTCAGCCTGTCTGCACTGCACGCGCTCCCCTTCCGGCAGCCCAGGGCAGAGGCGGTCCTTCCCGCAGGGCATCCAGGCCACCCCCCCAACCCCCGACCCCCACTCAGGACCTCTGAGGGTGAGCTGCGTGCAGCCTTGGACACAGCTCACCTTCGGGGCTAGTTCATGCCTCCCTGTGGGCAAACGGCCCCTTCCCCGCAGCCCTCGCAGTTTCCTCTCTCTTCCTCTCTTTTGGGGCCTTCTCGTCTGACCACACCCCGAGGCCCTGCTTAGCCCCCGACAGCCCTCAGGACTTGAATGGGACCACAGGCTCCTAACCTATTCACCAGAAGGAACCACCTTTATTGTCTACTTCTCCGCAGTTTCTAATATGGGCTCCCAGTCTTTAATACGTTAATCATCAAAACCATTTAATAAAGGATTCTATTCTAAGTATTTTTAGGGAAAGGTACGTCTACCTGCCAACCACAGCTAAAAATTAGCATGAGTTGGCAAATAATAATCATCATCATCATCGAAAGTAAAAGAAGTGATAGTCCGGTCAGCTCAGGCAGCCTACTTGCAGGCAAAGGTGTGCTCTTCCCCACGATTCTCTCCAAGTGCTGCGGGAGGTCCTGGGCGGCCTTGACCGCCTTCGAGCAGCTCTAGGCGTCTGGAAAGCCTCCCCGTTGGTCTCTGCACTTACCCGCCTCATGCCGTGGTGATTTCCTCTCCTGCTGCCAAGGGAGGGTCTGCGGGGCACTTGAACAGGCGGCAGGACCCCAGGGCAGGTCCGAGAGCTTGGGCTGCCCCCACGCCGTCAGAGCCGTAAGGCAGGGTTCCCTGGAGAGGAGCACAGCCAGGTCAGCCGCACGGCAGGTCCCCTTTCCAGCCACGCCCGCTGAGGAGCCTCCCAAGCGACCGTACCCTGCACACTGACACATGTTGATGCCCTGGCTGCAGAGGAGGGGACAGCGAAAGCTCTGCATTCCGGCTCCTTCTGCATGTGTCTGTGAGCTTTTCCCTCCGCCAGTGCTAGCCTGCGGGCGTCCCAGCGATACACGGTGAACTGTGGGCGCAGACCTGCCGGGAGGCTGGGAGTCCTGGCGCACCCGGAGGCCCCGGGGCTGCAGCTGTGTCAGGAGCGGTTCCTGGGGAGAGGCAGACGCCGTGTGGAGAGGCTCTGGCATCCGCCCTCTCTTGTCTTGCAGGGTTCCGCTGGCAGGCCGCGGTCACAGGCCCGGTAGGTAGCCGCTGCTGAGCGCCACCGTTCGCTTCCTCCCTGGGCACTTCTGTGCGCACTAATCCGCCTTCTGTGTCTCGTCCTTCCAGCACGACAGTCCTTACCAAGGAGGCATTTTCTTCCTGAACATCCACTTTCCCACAGATTATCCATTCAAACCGCCTAAGGTGAGGACGGTGGGGGTATGATAAAGGGGCCTTTGAAGTCACCGGCGCAGAAGCTGCAGGCGGACCTCTCCTGAGGGCCCTCACCCCGGTGCACGGGCACAGGCCCCCGAACGGTATGCCCTGGACTCCAGTCAGTCCCTGCGACGGGGGCCTCCCCTTGAGGCCGTGGTGGGACAGCGCCCTTCACGGCTGTAGCTGAGTCCCTTCCTCTGCATCCCTGTCCGCCTAGGACAGGGGTTCTCAGCCCGGGCCCCAGGGACATCGGACAATGCCCTGGGGTACTCGGCGTTGTGAAACTGGGGCGGGTGCCACAGGGGAGTTGCTACTGGTTTCCAGTGGGTGGAACCCAGGAATGTCGCTCGTACCCTACAGCACACAGGACCCTGGGACGTCAGTAGGACCCTGGCAAGTCGCCTCCCTTCATACTCTCTCCATCCCAGCAGAGGAGTCTCCGAGGGAGGACAGTGCCACCAACAGGAGGGAGAAGGGAGGGGCCTGCTCACCTCCCTGGCCCAGGAGGGCTGCTGCCCGCCCCACGCCAGCCCAGAGGAGCCCTGCCTTGTCAGGGAGCAGTCCCGCCTGGGCGGTCCGAGCCGAGGAGAAGCACAGGGCGGCAGTGCGTGCGGCGGGGGTCGCCCTGAGCATGCCGGGGGCCGCAGCGTGGGAGGAGGCCGGGGGGGCCCAAGAACTCAGGCTCCGCGGTGGAGGCTGAGCAGGGTGCCGGTGACAGGGGTGCCCTGGGCTGAGGCGACGAGGCCGACTCGGGACGCTCCATGGTGGAGCCAGCGGGACAGCGGCGGGCGCTGGTGTGCGTGGGTTCGCATCGCTTTACATTGTTTATGTTCCTGATTGCAAAACTGGTGAGTTGATTACTTTAAAATTAGGACACTGGGGAACTAGTGTGCGGATGGAAATCTGTCTCCTGTAAACCTACCGGTAGAGAAGACCACAGGCAACTGCCCGGTGTACGCTGCTCCAGGTTTTGTCTGCACCAATACAAGGCGGGGCAAACGTAGGTTTACAGCTCACAGGGAAAATAATACAATACTTAATAAATAATAATACATGATTAAATGTGGGTTTTGCATACTCAAAACTGTAAACCTACTTTTGCCCCACCATGTACCTATATTTTTTTTATTTTTAAATAAAAATATCAATTCTCGTTGTGAATGAGGAAACTGATGCATCAGCCAATTCTTTTACATATTTTTCCAATTACAGTTACATTCAATACTATATTAGTTTCATGTGTACAGCAGAGCGATTAGACGTTTATATAACTTACAGAGCGTTTATATAATTTGCGAAGGGATCCCCCTGATGTATCTAGTATCCACCGGGCACCGTATTTAGTTACTACAACATCACTGACCACGTTCCCTACGCTGGACTTCACAACCCCATGGCTATTCCGTAACCACCAGCCTGAGCTTCCCAGTCCTCTCCACCCAGACCCCAGCAGCCTCCCATCTGGCAACCTTCAGTGTGATCTCTGTGTCTTATGAGCCTGTTTTTGGTTTGCTGGTTATTTTGTTTTTTAAATTCCACCTATAAGTGAAATCATAGGTATTTGACTTTCTTTTCCTGACTTATTTCTTAGCAAATTCCACCCCCCCGGCCCCGATCCCGAGCCCTGACGGGTGTCAGTCAGTGGGGTGGGCATCACCCTGCAAAGCAAAAGACTTGTAGGCTCAGTTGCCGGTCAGGATGCAGGCCTGGGTTGCAGGTTAGGTCCCCAGTCGGGGTGCATGTGAGAGCCAACCAGTGGACACCCCTGTCTCACACTGGTGTCTCTCTCCCTCCCTTCCCTCACTTGGAAAGTAAATAAATAAAATATTTTTTAAAATTATATTTAAAAAGCCCCTAGATCCATCCACGTTCTCACAAATGGATTTCATTCTTTTTATGTCTGTTTACTAGTCTATTTTATATATGTCCATTTTGCTTTTGATTTGGGCCTTTATTCACATTTAAAGTAATTATTGATAGGTATGTACTTATGGTCATTTTAAAATTTTTGAAAACTTATGGATTTGAGAGCGAGAGAGAGGAAGTGAGAGAGGAACATGGATTTGTCGTTCCACTCACGTATGCATTCATAGGTTGGCCCTCGTATGTGCCTTGGCAGGGATGAAACCTGCAACTGCGGTGTGAGGGACAGCGTTCTAACCAGCTGAGCCACCCTGCCAGGGTCGACGGTTCTGGCCATTTTGCTTGTTTTCTGATTGATTGTGCAGGGGGGTTTTTTCTGTTCCTTATTTTCTTGCTCTCTTCTCTTGTATGTTGACCTCCTGCAGTGTTGTGTTTGTATTCCTTTTTCTTGATTTCGTGTGTGTCTCTGTATGTCTTCAGTCTGCGGTTTCCATGCGCTTCACAGGCCAGTCCGGCTGTGTGTGCGGATCAGCCTCTGAAAGAGGTGTGGGCGGATCACATGCACTGGCCGGAGCGGGGTCTCAGGGAACCGCCAGGGAGGGGTGAGAGCGGGGTCGGCTGGATTGGTAGAGACTCAGGTCTGGTGCCGGGCGCACCTGCCAGCTGTGCAGGGGAGGGCTGAACAAAGGAACGGCGGGTTCTGCCGGCACTTCGGTCCCAGAGAGAGCCGCCCCTGCGGCCCTCGCCCGGCAGCCAGAGCTGCTGCCCCCGCTCTGGAGCTCAGGGCCAGTGTTCGTGACTGAGCGGTCTGTGCTCGGGCCCTTGACAGGGACTCCTGGGCCAAAGCAGCCCTCCCTCTGCCTCCCCTGGACGGAGCCTCTGCCGAGTCTCACAGCTGCTGCTGTGGGGACTCTTCTTCCTGGCACAGGTGCTCCAGGCTGGGGGCCCTCCCTCCTCAGGAGGGGCCCGATTCCCGTCTGCCACACCTGGGTGTGGACCAGCCCGTTTTGCATCTGTTGCTCCTTTCAATCTGTGTAGTTTGTTCTTTATGTCCTTAGTTGTAGGAGTTCTGTCCAGCTAGTCTTCTGGTGGCTCTCAAGGCTCATTGTTCTATAATTTAGTTAAAATTTTGATGTGGTCATGGGAGGAGGTACGCACAGCATTTACCTGCTTTACCATCTTGCCCAGGAGTCCTCTCTCTGTGTCAGCCTTTTTTTGTTTTGTTTTGTTATTTGTTTTTTGTTTTTTTGCTTACAAGCTTTTACTTGTTAAAAATGAACTGCTTCAGCCCTGACTCGTGTGGCTTAGTGGATTGAGCACTGGCCTGCAAACCAAAGGGTCGCTGGTTCAATTCCCAGTCAGGGCACATGCCTGAGTTGTGGGCCAGGTCCCCCGTTGGGGGTGCAGAGAGACGACCAATTGCTGTATTTCTTGCACATCGAGGTTTCTCTCCCTCCTTTCCCATATCTCTAAGTAAATAAAGTCTTTAAGAAAAGAACTTTAAGAACTGGAACAGGGATAACTACAACCACAATCTAAGAAAGGCATTATTTCCAACAAAGCGTATTCTTTTACATACAATAGGTTAGCACTGAATTAATTTAATTTTAAATTAATTGTAACAAAAGCAAAATTTTATATTTAAAACGAAAATGAATACAGATGCACAAAGAGCAACCTCTACTACACCAAAGACACTGTTGCTTGATATACTTACTCTTAATATTCGGAACAATTTTTAAGGTTTTACAAAAAAAAGCATTAATAATAGTTCTGTACAATATTTAAAATAACAAATGAAAACATCTTTATACCATAGTTCCACAAACTATTCTAAAGACAGAAAACATGCTCAGTTGTTTTCCCTCTGCTTTAAAATAAGCTACCGGTAATTCTAAACCAGTCTAAAATGCATTGTTCATGGATCAGATCTAAGCATTCATACCTGCAAAAATGTTCTGCAATGAGTCCTTGGTCATTGCAGGATGGAGACTAACATTTCTTTTCAAACTGTTTGACTTGCTCTCAATAATCCCTTATCAGAAGACTTACTGGCAAAATATCAAAATTAAGGATCAGGTTTAATTCTTTGGGATAAGCATGAAACTGTCTTTGATAGCTGTCTGTGTCTAGCATAAACCAGGTAACCCAAGAAGTACGGGATGTGTCAGCCTATATTTTTAAAACTTTTTTAAAAATTAATTTTAGACTTAAAGAAAATCGCAAAAACAGCAGTTTCCATACATCCTTCACCTAGCTCTCCCTGACGTCAGCCTCTTCATTGCGCGGGCACAGTTGTCCGGTCCAGGAGTCAGTGTTGGCCACAAAGCTCTGGGCCAGCCTGACAATACTAGTCACATTTTCCCTGTTTGCACAGAGGTCTGTCCCGCCTCCCTTGTCTCCTTCACCATCACCGTCTGCCTCAGTTTCCCCTGGGCTTTTATGACTTTGCTGCTTGTGAGGAGTATTCACCAGTTATGTTGCCAAATGTCCCTCATTTTGAGTTTGTGATGTGTTCTCAGGATTGGACTAGGATTATGCATTTTGGCAAGACTTAGGTTGAAGTCCTGAGTCCGTGTCAGGGCGCCACAGCTCAGGGTTCATGCCCAGAGGGTGGCCTTGATGGCTCAGTGTGAGTCACACCCTTGGCTCTGTGTGCACCTCGTGTCTGAGCTGAGGGAAAAAACCCTCAGGGCTCCCCAGCCACAGCTCTGCCCTGGCATTGCCACCAGAGGTCACCAGGAGCCTCGGTATTTTAAATCACAGTTAAATGTGGTCAAGATTTTAGAGACCTTGCCAGCTTTCAGCAGGGAGGAAGGGTGTGCTGGGCAGGGGGACAGATGCTAAAATAACCCTGCCAGATTTGAGTGCACCTGCTCTTCCAGGGGTTTGGTTGAAAACGCAAGTTTCTTGGTCTCTAACGCACCCCTGCCCTTTCCCTGCAGAGTCTTATAAAGTTGTAATATTCTACCTTCTCTGTCTCATCAGCAAGCGAGCAGTTGAGGATCTTTGTTAAGCAGGCTGGAGGCCTGTCTGTCTGTTGGTGTTTTCAGGATCCCGGTTGCCCAAAGGCAGTGAAGAGAGTGGCTGGTACTGGGGTGAGGATGTAGAGTTGTGAGCTGGGATTACTTTAACTAAGAGACACGTGACATGAAATGTGAGTGACCCTTGACAATGGAAGGAAGTGTTTCTGTCTTTTTAAAATCTCCTTCCACAGGAAAAGAAGATAAAATAGGTTGATGTTTTCCCACGAATTCTCTGACTGTTTTCCTTGCCAGGGAATCTGGCAAGGTTGCGTGAACTTCTTTACCAGAGATACTGAAGAAGGCAGATACTGCCTGAGAGGCTTTGCAAGTTTGGCCCTTCCTTGGAAAATTATTTCGTAACAGACGATAAACCTCACATGCACAGAGCCTTCCTTCCCTGCATATCCTGGGCTAAGTTCTTGAAAAACTATGTTGTCATAACTTGTTTTGGCCCTGCCAAATATTGTCGCTAATAATGTAACAGGCATCCAGCCTGAGCCCCATTCCTCAGGAGAGACCTCCAGGGCCGCCCCTGCCCTCTGGCTGCTCCTCAGAGCCACTGCTCCCGGGGAGGTGGGGTCAGTCCCCCATGTTTGGAATGAGAATGGGTTGGGGGCCTGCCCCCGCCTGTGTCCTGTTAGCATTCAGGGCGGGGGCCCAGCGCACCCAGGACTGTGCAGAGCCAGGAATAGCCCAGCTGCAGCCACTTCTGCCTTCCTTGGTTCATTTTTCAGACTGACGCTGTCTAGATTTAAGGTCTAGAATGTCTCTGTGGTCCGACTGACTTGAGGCCTCTCATCTCTGCAGGTTACTTTCACGACCAAAATTTACCACCCCAACATCAACAGCAACGGCAGCATCTGCCTCGACATCCTGCAGTCCGTGTGGTCTCCGTCGCTGACAGTGTCCGAAGGTAGCCGCCTGTGCCAGACTCCAACGCACCTCGCAGGCCCTGCCCCGCACCTGCGCCTCTCACAGCAGTGTGTCTGCCCCGCGTGCCTGAGGAAACAGGCTCCGAGCGAGCAGGCAGCTTCCTGCGGCTCCTGGGAGAGGGCATAGGGGACCTCGCTCCCGCCCTGACCATGTCTGCAGGGGGGCTCCAGCCAGACTGTCGCTTGGGCGCGAGAAGAGAATACCGGTTTTATGAACATGTTTCTCTAGAAATAAGAAAGGCAAATACTGCACTGCCTTCTGAGTTCCCTTACTTGTTCATCTGTCCCACCCGGATTCTGAGTTAGGCCTCAGAAGGAAGGAGAGGCAGGCCCCTCCCCGACCCCAGGGCCTCAGTCTTGAAGAACGATCCCCCCTAAGCAGTGTGCTGAACGCCTCTGGGCATGCAGCTAAAGACACCAGTCTCAACAGGGCTTCAGAGATGCAGGTACTTCCGAAAGAAAGGGCTCAACCTGGATGCACCAGCATGAATATCGTGTCCGTGGGATGGGTAAGGTGGTGAAGAAGTATGTCCGAGGGAAAGGGGGGCCCAGAGCCCGAGAAATAAGCAGAGGTGGGTGAGAAGCAGAGCGGACAGAGCAGAGCTCCCAACGGCCAGTGCGGGGACAGGTGGGGCCGGCCACCGGCAGGACAGGCAGTGGGAGCGTGCAGGGCGAGTCCAGCAGGAGCCCACCCCGCGTGCCTGACTGTCCGGAGGCCCCATTTCCTGACTGACTAACAAGCCCCTGTGACCAGACCTCAGAGGTGTGTGTTGATCGCAGGTTCCCTAGAGCAGGAGGCACAAAACTGCCGTTCAGCCCATAGATGAGCAAAGTGAATACTTTCATGACTATCGGGACATCAAACAGAACAATTCAAGACAGGATGTGGCAGGGAAGGCGCTCACTCTGTCACTAGCTTAGGATGGGGTCTCACCAGACCCGGGCGCCTGGCAGCCTCGTGGCTGACCACGCTTTGTTTCTCTTCCCAGTGCTCTTGTCCATCTGCGCCCTGCTCAGCGAGCCCAACCCCGACGACCCTCTGATGCCAGAGATTGCCCACACCTACAAGGCCAACAGAGAGAAGTACGCACCCTCCTTGGGCTCCTTTGCGCCTCAGGGGTACCCACCCTAAGCTGGTGCCTCTTGGCCAACCAGCCTGTGGCAGACTTCCTCCTGCCTGTACCAGGGCCATGGAGCAGGTGTCTCTGGGCTCAGACACCTGGCTCTCTCGTGAACATACCCTTTGCCTCGGGGAAGAGAGGAGATAAAAGCTGTTCACCCTCCTTGGCAGCTCATCAGCTGCTGATACCGAACCCTAAAATATTATTGCCAAGCCTGCCCTTGAGGTCAGCAAAGTCAGTGGTCAGCCAAGAATGGACTCAGAAGAATCTAACAAGAAAACTCTGGGTTAAATTCTAAAGTTTACAGGGTAAGCCAGAGTATTTTCTCAGAGACACCAGGGCTGGGCCAAGACCCGGCGAGGCAGGAACACAGCCATGGTCAGTTTCCTGATTGAGGCTCAGCTGCCAGCAGTGTGTTGCTGTTTTACTGACAGGCCCCTGTTTATTTTTTTTGTTTATTCATCTGTTTTTTTTAGATTCCAAATATAAGTAAGATTACACAATATTTGTCTTTCTCTGACTTATATCGCTTAGCACAATATCCACCATTTCCATCCATGTTGTCTCAAGTGGCAAGATTTCACTATTTTTTATGGTCAAGTGGTATTCCATTGTATATATACCACACCTTCTTTATCCACTCATCTGTCGATGGGCACTTGGCCTGCTTCCATATCTTGGCTATTGTAAATAATGCTGCAATGGGCATAGGGGTGCTCAGGTATATCTTTTCAAATTAGTGTTTTTGTTTTACTGGGATAAATACCCAGAAGTAGAATTCCTGGATCATGTGACAGCTCTATGTTTAATTTTTTGAGGGAACTTCATAGTTTCCCACAGCGGTTGCACCAGTCTGCATTTCCACCAGCAGTGCACAAGGGTTCCCTTTTCTCCACATCCTCATCAACACTTTTTTTTTTTTTTGTTCCTTTATTGATGACAAGCATTCAGACAGGTGTGAGGTGGTATCTCATTGTGGTTTTAATTTGCATTTCTCTGATGATTAGTGGTATTGAGTATTTCTTCATATGTCTTTTGGCCATCTGTGCGTCCTCTTTGGAGACATGTCTATTCAGTTCCTCTGCTCATTTTTAAATTAGACTGTGTTTTTTTGGTGTTAAGTTACATGAGTTTCTTATAGAATGTAGCCTTGGCGAATATCTACTCCCATTTGGTAGGTTGTCTTTTTGTTTTGTTGATGGTTTCCTTCACCCTGCAAAAACTTTTTAGTTTGATGTAGTCCCAGTTTATTTTTTCTTTTGTTTCCCTTGCTCAAGGAGATATATCCAAAAATATTTTCCTAAGAGCCATGTCAAAGAGTTTACTGTCTATGTTTTCTTCTAGGAATTTATGGTTTCAGGTCTAACATTTAAGTCTTTAATCTATTTTGAGTTTGTTTTGTATATGGTGTAAGAAATTGGTCTAGTTTCATTTCTTTGCATATATATGCCTAGTTTTACCAACACCACTTATTGAAGAGACTATCTGTACCCCATTGTTTATCCTTGCCTCCTCAATTCTCTGTTTAAACACTGATGACCAGACCCAGAATGGTAGAGCCATTGGGCCAGGCACAGTCACACATGCGGGAGCCTAGGGGGATGGCTTGGAGGGTGAAGCGCTGACATTGTGGGAGAAAGGGCCTGGCCTAGCAGGGCCCTGGCATCAGAGCCCCGGCCTGTGAGCTGTGCTGGGTCTCCATGGATGAGACAGGATGGGGCAGGGAATGGTAACTGCTGGTTCTTCTAAGGAACATTCCCAGTGAGTCTTTTAGTTTATTAATTCTCTTCTGTCTGAAGAGATTAGAATGGAGAGTGGTTTTTTCCAACTTACATTAATCTTGAAAGCTTTATAGATGTCATTATTTCCCTCATTGAGTTTTCCAGAATGATAAAGTACTTTTTAATTCACTGGATTATAAACTGTATTTATTTTACCACTTGTCATGAGATGCTTTAGACATACCAAAAGCGGTTTCTTCATTGCCCTCTGTGGCTGCATATCTGTCTCACAGCCTCACAGCACCAGCCCTCACCGGTGCAAGCTTCCGCAGCCCTCCATGGCACCAGGCCGCTCTGGGGCACGAGGCTCCCAAGCCTGTGTGCTGGGGAGCCTGGGCTGCTCCCAACTGACCTCCGTGGATGCCCTCCTGATCCTCCATGTCCACGTCCTAGGACAGGAGAGAGGAAGAGAGGAGGTTTGGCACATTACTGAGCTTTCTATAGCAGACGGTTGTGGAGAACTACCAGGACTCACCAGGTTAGGGGTTTACGCTCACCAGTGACACATCCCCACACCAGGCTTCTTTATGTCGCCCGCTCATTAGTCGTCCATGTTTACCAAGGGCAGCAGCCGTCCCCTGAATTAGACCTGTTCTCCACTCTGCATGCCAAGGAAGTGACCGTTTTGAATGAGGTAACTTTTTTCTTCCAGGTACAACAAACTAGCAAGAGAGTGGACACAGAAATATGCTATGTAAGGGCCTTGGAGGCTTCATGGCAAAGAGGTCCTTCCATGAAACTGAGCTCCTGGCCAAGCCACTCCCAGAGTACCCTCTTGTACGAACAAACGCTGGCCGCACTTTCTCCCGCCACAGCGCATTGGTGCCACTCTCAGCCATCGTGGCTTTGACATCACATCTTTGAAGCCAAGTTAGTCATCGCTGTTATGACCTGCAGCCTCCCTGGCCACACTGGAATCGGTCCCTGTGCCCCTCTCACTGCTGGTCTCACCGAGGGACAGTGTGCTGTGCACCTCCCCTGCCCATCCTTAGGCGGCACCCCTCACCATGGCACCACCCGAGCCCCCGCCTGGCCCTCACCTCTGTGTCTCAGCACCAGCCTGGGTGTCCCAGGCAGAGGGGCCCTGTCTGCTGCAGACCTTGTCCCAGGAGGTCTCCACTCATCCTGGGAGTCAGGAGCACTGTCACTGGGATAGTGTCCCTCTGTGGTGCTGGCACCCTCTCCCCACCCCGACCCCGCACCGGGCAGCAACAGCACAGAGAATGTTGACACAGCACAGAACACCCCGGGAGAGGTGACTGTCTTTTCAGAAGCCAGACCTGCAGAGATTGGGGTTTGCTTTTCCACATGAAGAGGTTTTTCAGCACCCACCACCCCTCTCGGAGCCTGCACTAAGCCCAGTGGGAGCTACCACAGACCAGAGCACAGGGGCAGGGAGAGACTTGGAAATGTAAATAAAAATGTGATTCACTCATCACCCTAAACAACAACTGGCATTTAAGCCTACTTTTTTTTTTTCCTCCAGGCAGAAGACATGGAATCTTTTAACAGGTTGTTTGGAACCTTGAAGTAGAACAGCCTATTGAGTGAGTGACTGGCCGCCTCTTGGGTTTCTGAGGCAGCACATTTTAAGGGTTATCTTTAGGGTCTGGAGCTTTGAGATTAGGTTCGCCAGAAAGGCAGGTGGATTCTTCTGATTAAACCTCCCAAGAGGGAGGGCAGTTGAGGGGCTTCAACCCTCTAAAGTCAAATCTGATCTGGTCTTTCCTAAGGGATCCCATCTCAGGGCAGCCGTGGCTGGAACACTCGGGTGAGTAGGACCAGGGGATGCAGCATGAAATTCCACCCCCAAATGGCCTGACGGGGCCTTGGCAGGCGGATCAAGGAATGATGTCACAAGAGGTCCACCTGCTCCAGGAGCTCTGAGTTGTCCACAGCTTCACTGCTGGGGCCTCCCAGGCCGCAGTCTGAGCCAGGTCTTCATTTCCTTTATGGGGGTCCCCATATAAGACCCTGATACCATAGGCTGCTTTTGGGGTCCCATGGGCCCTGTTCCCTGCCTGTCCCCATGGGGATGGCTGCCTTTTTAATTTTTGCCTCTTTGCCACCCCTTTGTTTCTGATTAAACAAAATGTTCAACCTTCCTAGACAGGGAGAAGGCCATCAGCATGTCCCCTGAGTGGGCTCTCAGACAGTGGTCACAATGCACCTTGCAGCCAAGTATCACAAAGCAGGGAGGTGGAGCAGGGTCCCATTTCAGAGACAATCAGAGGCTTAGAGAGAAAATCCCATCCCAGGCTGGTGTGGAGGCTGCGGGTGCCCTTCCAGTGTAGTAGCTTATGACTCCCAGGAGCTGAAGAATTGCCTGAGTCCAGTCAAAAGTCTCCCATGCTTGTTCTCTCTGTTGGAGACATATGGTAGGAAAGTGACATCAGCCCTTTGGGATCCCGTGTCAATTGTCATGGCCCTTTACCAGCCTGAGTTGGACTCTGTACCTGCCAGACCCTTCAGACAAACCTGACCCTGGAAAATCCCCACTGTCTCCCCCTGAGAAACCCACCTGCTTGTCAGCCTGAAGAACAGGCTTCTTAGGTTGAAAACCTTACTTCAGGATGCACTGTGGTGTGGGAGCCCCCGTGTAACCTGCCTGTGCAGACGTCATGTTTCCAAGGCGAGTCCCAGGCAGGCAACTGGACAGAAGATCCAGAAAGCGAGCTGTGGGGTGATGTGGCTTTTTTCTCTGGACCAGAGACATCAGGGAGAGGCATGGTCTTAAGCAGCTGATCCACTGTGAACAAATGACCATTAACTGTGGCCAGAAGCACCTGAGTTTACTGTAAAGTACTGAGAGCTTGATCCTTTGTTATACTCTAGGAAGACCCCAGAGTTCCAAGAATATGGCTAAGGGTCTCAATCTCCTGAGCAGGGATAAAACGCCAGGATGCCAATGTCCCAGGCCTGGCAGCTTAGAGCTGAGAATACGTCCATACCACCTCACTGCAGGTGCTCAAGGAGAAGCAGGTTTCTGTCTCTGAAATTCAGGAGGCAGTCTCCTTAGGTGACAGAGAGGTGCTTGCAGGACAGGCCTGGCCAGAGGTGGGGCAAAGAAGCCTCAAGATCAGCATGGGCCCTTTGTCTCTCCTGCCCCGCCAGCCCCTCCTTCCTGTGCCTCCTGTCACCGGGACATGCACTTCGTCGAGCAGTGCTGCCTAAGGGCTGGGCCTGGGTCAGAGCTAGTCACGGAGGCTGACGGTCTGAGGAGTGGAGGACATGGTAGGCAGCACCCCATGGTGGCAGGAGTGCTCCCTTGCCTCCTGCCCTGTTCTTCCTGGCCGGTCTGCTGGCCTCCCCATCCCTACCCAGGCTTCCCCTGTTGACAGATGTTATTAGTAAAATCACAAAGCTATAAAGAAGCTGCAAAACCTATCAAACCAGATAGCGGCTTCTTAATTTTCCTTAAAATGTCTCCTCCTGCCCCCTCTCCGAAACCCCCACGCCCCACCCTGTTTAGGCAGGGGCGAGGGGTGTAAGAAGCCATCCTTGGGTGGGAAGTTGGCCATTTCTGCACCTGGTAACAGATGCTCAGCACGGAGGACTTCACCCCGGAACAGGAGGTCCTGACGGATCTGTTGACATCTTTGGGTTAACACGTCCTCAAAGTTGTGGTGAAACTTCACAACCCCTACTGCTTGTACCTTCCGTTGCCTTGTGCGGTTGCCGCTGGCCGTGCGGCAGCAGGAAGCTGGACTGAGGCTTCAGGCAAGACCTAGGAGCCAGAGACCCTTGGCGGCGCAGAGCTCCAGGGGCGGCAAAGGCGCCCCCTCTGAGGCCTTGCGGCCGGTTAGATGGCCGGGAAGGGCCCTCCTCCTCCTGAGGGGCGGGCGGCCCGTGCGCACCGGTCCAGCCTCGGACGCAGACGCGAGACCCTGCAGCCACGCCACCCCTAGACTGGGGCCTGCAGCCCAGCCCGGGGTGGGGACTCCAGCCCGCCCACCTCCTTCCGCGGTGACTCTCCGTTCGAGTGGGACAGGGCCTCCATTAAGAAGGTGGTTTTTTTGGTTAAACTCTCAAGTTGTGAGGTGTTTGTTTTCTGGATTCCACTTATGCCGCATAAAACAAGTTTCCTGTTTGGGACGGAGAAGCAATGGTTCCATTTCTCTAACTCTGTGGTGATGGGGCCTCGTGTGGCTGAAACCGAGAGACGCGATCCTGGCGGTTTTGAGAAAATGATTTTCCTGATAATTGACACTTGTGCTAACGAGGACTTTGAATAAATAGCTGTCCTTCCTCACGGGTCGCTTCGGTCTGAATGGCTGGCTCCTCAGCCTGAGACTGAATTCCCGGGCAACAGGCGGGGGTGCCCAGGGCCGGCAAGGGGCTGGGAGCGGCCGGGACGAGCTCTGCTGAGGGTCCACGCAGAGGCCCGGGGACTCCGCGCGCGGAGACTGTCGGGACCCCAGATTACGCAGCAGGAGTGGTAACAGCGACCCGAGTCAGAAGAGGACGCGCACGCGCCCCGAGCAGCAGCGGCCGACGACTGCGGCCCAGCCTGTTCCTTTACCGCGTCCCGGAAGAGAGTCTCCGACTCCCGCTGCGCCCCGCCCACCAGAGACCCGGGCGTTTCGGCCCCGCCCACTCCCTTCCGCTTCCGGCCGGCGGGGGCGGGGCTGGCCCGGAAGCAGCGGCAGAGTCGGCGGCGGAGCGGGGACCAGGCCGGGCGATGGCTGTGAACCTGAGCCGGAACGGACCGGCGCTGCAGGAGGCGTACCTGAGCGTGGTCACCGAGAAGTCCCCGACCGACTGGTGGGCGGCGAGGCGGGCTGCGACCCGGCCGGGCCGGGCAGGGGAGCCTGGGGGCGCGGCCACGGGCGGGCCGGGACTCACCTGTGTGCCCCACACCTGCACCGCGCCTGGGGAGGTGCCGCCCCCACCCTGTCACCGCTTGCCCCGCCGCTCGTGAGCCCCCAAGCCCGCGCCATCCCTCGGTGGGCGGGCCTGCGTGGTGGACTCCGTGCCCGGCTGCGCTCGGGGGCTTCGCCAGGTTCTGCTTTCCTGCCCGGGATCTCGCAGCCTCCCCGAGAAAGCGGAAGCCACGCCCGACGTGTTGCAGAAGCCGTGTCCCGGGACGCTCCTCTGAGAGCCGCCTGTGGGCCGGGTGGCCGCGGGGGCCCTGCCGGGAGGCGTCAGACCGAGAGGTTGTCCGTGTGTGTCCAGGACCCCCTTCCTGGGCGGGAGCCTCGGGGATGAGTGCCTCACGGCGCGGGCTACCGTCTTCCGTCTGCCGCCGGGCGCGCCCTCTGCTAAGCGGCCGCGGTTAGGGCTCCTCCGGAGGATGATGGGGCTTCACGGTCCTGGAGTCCTCGTCCGCGGGCAGGGTCGGCTTTCTGTGCCGCAGGCGCCGGTGGCTGTGCGAGGAAATGCTCTGTCCCTGCCCGGTGCGCTTCAGTCGTTTTCGCTGACTAGTTTCGAGCACTCCCGGTTTTAAGAAGCGCGCAGGAGGGCGGACTGAGGCGACCGGCTTCGGGGAGCAGGGCCCGCGGGTGTGGCTGTGCTGCTGGGACCGGTCTCCACTTGTCAGACGCTGCTGCTTCCTCAGCTCTGCGTTCCCCGGTGCCCAGCGAGTGGCTTTCATCCCGTGTACTGTCGTGACACCAAGGCAGTGGGGGCCTTCCCCTGCCCTCAGCTCGGGCCTTGTGGGGAAGAGCTTCCCAACAGCAGCACCGGTCTGCGCGCTCCGGTCCTGCTGCGGGCGCCCGCGCGCCCTGGGGCTGGCTCTGCAGGACAGCCAGGCAGTGTTCCGAACGCATCTCTTCTAATCAGGGAGAGGTGCCTGGTAACCAGCCGAGTTTCCTCTTTCGCTCTCAGGAAGTTCACCGCGTGGCAGGCACTGTTATTCCTCTGGGAGCATCTGGATGGTGCCCCCACCCCTCCCCTCTGCTCCTCCCAGGTGGCCCCTCAGCTGCTATTCCAAACCCTGTGACAGCACCTCTGCACACAGGGCCCCATTTCCACGCCCACGCGAGGCCCCCAGACTGGAGCCGGGAGGAATCGGTGCCCCTCTGCAGTCTTCCCGGTTAGGGTTTTGCTCCTTTGCGTGTGCTCTGGGGTAGCCCTTTTTGCCTTAACCTAGAAGATTCCTGGGAATCCTAATGGGCCTTCCTTCCAGGCCTCTCTGTCTGCAGTCTGCTCGGGGACTGTCCCTGGTCGGGGGACAATGTAGTTCAGGCCTCGCATGTTTCAGCCTTTCCCCGGGCTCCTGACCAGAGCCGCCTGCTACCACTGCATCGCCTCTCTGCCCTCACGAGGGTGACGAGCCGCCTCTTCCTCCCACCCAGTCTGCGCCCATTGCAGCGGCCGCCCTCGCCAGGCCCCAGTGGCACTGAGGGCTGTGCCACTCGGCAGCATGAACCCCTGACCTCTGCCTCAGTGTCAACAGATACTGTGTGGCAGGCCCCCACTCACTAATGTCACTTTCCTACTTGTTTGCAGCGACTTCTCATTGCTCTGTAATTACAGGCCAGACTCCTCGCCTGGCTGACAGGCCGTGACAGCCCACTCTCGCCTCCGCTCCTGTGGTCGCCCTGCCCGCGTTCACCTCACCGGAGCCCTTTCTCTCTTCCTCAAACTTGCAGGCTGCTTCCTCCTCAGACGCTTGCTCTGCCTGGGGCGCCCCTGCTCCCCGTCCCAGGGCCCCCCACAGCGGAGTCTCGGCGCCTCGCAGGGGCCTTCCGCACGGTCTCGCTCGTGGGCTGCAGTCACACTCTCCCGCCTCCTCCAGGCCCATGCAGACACCCTGTTGGTTTTGCGTCACCTTTCTCTCTTTTCCAGAAGGAGCGGGGGTGGGCCCTGCCTCGGTCCCCAGTGCCGGACCGTGGTGTGTGATAGGTGCTCAGGCAAAGGGCGGACTGAGGGTGACAGGACAGGTGGTATCAGAGCAAGAAGAGGTGGTCTCCGGCGTGGTGGGTGCAGCGTGGGCGACCCCGGATGGGGCCCTGGAGCCGGGCAGGGGGAGCGGCCACACCAGCTCGCGCCTCGGGTCCTCCTCTGGGCTCTCCCGGGCCCATCTCCCCGGGTCGCAGCCTGGGTCCAGCTCCTGCAGCCCCTCCCCCCAGCGCACCGTGTCGGTGTGTGTGTCCTGCGGGCAGGGCTGGCTTGAGGCTGCGTCCCCGTCACCAGCCGGCAGCAGCTCTTTGCATGTGTGTTTGGAAGGAGTGGCCAGCATGTAAGGTGCTCAGCGCCCACAGGTGTCGTGCCTGGACCAGAGCGTCATTTTTTTCCGTCCGCTTGAAAGGAGGCTGGGACTGGTGGGATGTGGCGATGAGCCTCTGCCGGGGACACCCCCAAACGGCCCGGGGTGAGGCGAGAGGTCAGAGGGTGGGTGGCTGGAATGGAGCTCGGCTCTCGGGAGCTGCTGGATCCCTTCTCTTTTTCTTTACTTTTCCTTAGAGAAAGAAAGAAACATTATTTTGTTGTTCTACTTATTTATGTATTCATTGATTGATTCTTTTTTATCCACACCAAAGGACATGCTTATTGATTTCAGAGAGCGGGGAAGGGAGGGGAGACAGAGAAACCGACTGGGGACCAAACCCACAACTGACGTGTGGGGATGACGCTCCAACCAGCTGAGCTGCCCAGCCACGCTGCGGGGTCCCTCCTTGGAGAGCCGGGCTGAGCAGCCTCTCGTCCTCGCTGGTGTCCCTGTCATCTGCGCATCAGGGGGAATGGCTTCTTTCCTGCAGCAGAGGGCGGCCAGGACTCTGACCAGCAGGGGGAGGCGACGGGCTAGACCAGGGCGGCCAGCACTTCCTGGGCTGAACCCTTGCTGAGCCGGTGCTGGCGGCTTCCCTCCTCGGAAGCCACCACTTCCAGAAGGTTCTCCTGAAGGTCCTGCCTCCCGGCCTCCTTTTTCTGTTTCTCGCCTTCCACATTGTCTCTCTTCTCCTGGGAAGCTTGTTCTTTCCTGGCAGCCTGTCCTCCCTGTCAACCAAGTCCCCTGGGCCAGGGTCAGGTCTCGTTTCTTCTAGCTTTCTAGGGCACAGGCAGCTCTGCCCAGCGGTGTCAGCAAGGCCACTGGGAAGCTGAGCGGAAGCTGATTAGGTTCCTGTCAGCCTATTTACCCTGGGGCCCGGGCTGGCCAGCTCAGCAGGCCTATGCTCCAAAGTAACTCTTGCTCATGTCAAGGGACCTTCCCTAGCTATGCCCACCCCTAATAAAATTCACCCTATTTCCTAAACACCTCTGGGGCACTAGTTTTTAAGCCCAAATCTTTTCCAGGGTTGTTAAGAATATTCAGTCTTACAGGAAGAGCGGTGTGGCCCAGGGCCGCCTGTGGAGAGGCAAGGCCCTGGTTGGTCTGGACCCTGCCACACCGGGCGTCCACCCCGGAGGCACTGAGGTCGTGCTGCGTTGCGGCCCCCCTAGGTTTCTGGTGCTGCGCACAACCTGGGGAAGTGCATGCTCGCTGGGGGAGCCCCAGCCCAGGCGACCTGCTCCGCCCGCCCTGTGGGCCCTGGGTGCCGGGCGCGGTTCCTCCTTCCTGCTTCTCCCTGGGGTGTTGCAGGTACAGGGGTGTGCAGGTGTCTGTCTTTCCAAATGCACATGCCTGGTAGGTAGGCATGTTTCAGACGTGAGAGTGTAAAATGTTGCTGTAAAACTTGACAGCTCAGCTTTCCTCAAAGGAGATGTGTGTCTTGTCCTCTGAGGTTGCCCCTCACAAGCCCTGTGGCCCGTCAGGCCGGCATACGTCAGCTTCAGAGCCGGGAAGGCCGTGCCTTGGCAGTCCCGCGGGTCACAAGGGGCCCGTGGTGGCCCACAGTGCGGCTGCCGTGCTGAGTTCCCCGGGGTGCGGGCCGATGGCGCCCACTGCACTGGCTACATGACCCACCTGTCTTGTCTCCAGGGCTCTTTTCACCTACGAAGGCAACAGCAATGACATCCGCGTGGCCGGCACTGGGGGTGAGTATGGCCAGGCGAAGAGTTGAATGGGCTCCGGGAGAGCGCGGTGCATGAAGTGGGGGACAGAGTGCGGCTGCCAGGGCTCCAGCTCCGGTGGCAGTTCCACTGTCACAGCAGGAGGCTGGGGGCTCAGGCCAGCGTCAGCGATGAGGTGTTCTCGGGACACAGGCCAGGCAGAATGAGGGGGTCAGGTGTCTCTAAGTGAAAGTGAGTCCTCGGTGTTCTCGGCCTGAGGTGCAGGGTGTGAACAGGCTGCTCCGAACTCACAGGGCTGGCGGTGGGGAGGGGCAGGCAGACCCCCGCTTCCTGCTGTCCCGCACTGCGCTCGCTGGTGGGCCAGCGGCAGAGGCGCCCTGGAAGCGGCTGCTGGAATGCAGGGCGACGGGAGGCCTCTGCAGGGAACATGGGTCAGCTGGTCGGGGTCGACGTGGCGGGGTGTGAGCTGCGGCACCCGGGGTACCCCGACGCGCTGTGCCCCAGGCCCGCCCACCTGACCTGAGCCGGGCACAACTTGGTCACCCGGCGACGGCTCAGCGCACGTGCGCGGTCCTGGTGACTTGGTAGAGAGCCCCCTGCCAGCGCCGTCCCTGCTGGTCCTGCCCCTAGAAGGGCTGCCACCGTGGCGGCATTGCACAGAGTTCAGCAGCCGCGCTCCCCTCCATTGGGGAAGGTCTGCAAGGCTGACAAGGGCAGCAAACCTCGTGTGTGGGGGTCAGGGGAGCGGCCTGGCAGCCCCTCCCTCCAAGAGTCGCAGCCGAGCCAGTCCAGACGTTCCCACCTGCTCACGGCGCTCTGGGTGGCCCACAGTCTGAGCAGACAGGTGGGCGGGGGCCCTTTGTGGGGCCTGGGTAATGGAAACATTATTGTAGGAAGGCCTCCCTTTTCAAAGTCTGGTGGCGGAAATGACATTTTCATTTTACAAAAGTGGCATTTAGACGAGTGAGTAAAAGCCACCAGTTGCTTGTCCTGAGTGCAGGCCCCGTTGACGGTTGGGGCTGGCCCGGGGCCCCCTCCTGATGCGGGCGGCGGCTTGGGCGCCCTCCATGCCCGGCGCCGCTGACGCCCCTGTGGCTGCTGCAGAGGGCGGCCTGGAGGAGATGGTGGAGGAGCTCAACAGCGGGAAGGTGATGTACGCGTTCTGCAGGGTGAAGGACCCCAACTCCGGCCTGCCCAAGTTTGTCCTCGTCAACTGGGTACGTGCACTGGGGGCCCCGGGGGCTCATCCAGCAGGACCAGGCGCTCCTCTGCCTGAGAGGCTTGAGGACAGCTCCCAGCTAGGGGGTTAGTTCTCTGTGGCCTGAGGGCACCTGGGGTCTTGGCAGCTCTGAGGTCACCCTCCGAGGCCAGAATTGCTCCCGCAGAATGAAGGACCAATAGCCACTGGACCTGCATGTCCTTATCCCCTTCAGGGAGGCCATCCTGAGGGAGCGTTGGGTCGGGAGAAGTCTGGGAGGCTTGGCAGCGAGGACCGGGCAGGACTGGGGACGAGGGGATTCTCAGGCACCCCCACAACCTCCCCGACTTAGCGGTGGGGCCACCTGGTCGTGGGTTTTGCGGTGGCTGTTTTCTCCTTTTGGGGATCCAGGGAAACTCTGCATCCCTGGGAGGGCTGTGGCTTGGAGGAATGGGCGGCGGGTCACACTGGGCGTGCTGTGTTGCAGACGGGCGAGGGCGTGAATGACGCGAGGAAGGGCGTGTGCGCCAACCACGTCAGCACCATGGCCAGCTTCCTGAAGGTGAGGCTGCGGCTGCAGCTCCTGGGCCGGTGCCTGGGGCGCACGAGTGGAGTCGGGAGTGTGCCCCGCGCCTCGTGCTCTGTCTGGGCCCCGGGTGTGGCTGAGGCTGCGCCACCCTTGCTCAGCTTGTGTGCAGAAGGGCCTGGGCGTGGCCTCGGGGGAGGCAGAACGAAGGGCCGCGAGGGGCCCCGTGTGGGGGCTGCTCCTGGAAGCGCTGCCCATGCTCAGCAGCGTCGGGGTTTGCAGAAGGCGGGAGATTGCTGTGCCCCACCCAGCAGGTCCCCTCTGATGCGTCCCTTTCTATCTGCTTCTGCATGTCAGTCATAAAGGGGACTTCGTGTGATTTCCAAGGTTGTCTTCACATGTCGGGTGCCGGCTGGGTGTTGAGGGACGGCGCATGCAGTCACAGGCCTGGCTCGGCAAACCAGCTCACTGTAGAAAACGTGCTCATTCCAGGCGTCTGTCGGGCTTAGTTGTCACTGATTAGAAGGACACTGTCTAGTGCCTGAGCTGTCGGTGAAACGCAGAGCCACAGAACACGCCATGGGCCGCGAGGGCCCCAGGCACGAGCTGGCACAGGCAGGAGCGTTTGCCCACTTCCCCGCGGGGCCTCCTGAGCCTCTGGAGACAGGTGTGTGGCCTGTCCCTCTGGCGTTGCAGCGCCCCGTGACGCTCTGCCCTTGCTGCAGGGCGCCCACGTGACCATCAACGCGAGGGCCGAGGAGGATGTGGAACCGGAGTGCATCATGGAGAAGGTGGCCAGGGCCTCGGGTGCAAACTACACATTCCACAGAGAGAGCGGCCGCTTCCAGGACACGGGCCCCCAGGCCCCTGTGGTGAGTGCTGCTGGCCCGGAGGCCAGGGGCACTTCCCAGGGCCCAGACTGGCTGTGCCCGCCCGCCTTCATGGGCTGGCTCCCCAGCCTGGCTCAAGCCCCTGAGCCGGGTCGAGGTGCAGGCCGCGATCTGCTTCTGACCAGTCGCCCCAGTGAGGCAGGTGCCGCGGGCACGAGGAGTGGCGCCAGCCCTGACCTCTGGAGCCTGCGGTGCCAGCTGTGTGTGGTCCCTGCGAGGACAGCACAGTCACCCTCGAGGCCCCGGCACCAGCGTGTCCCGCGTGGCCCTGGATGGCGGCCACCGTGGAGGAACTTCAGGTGGCAGACAGGGCAGACCTCTCCATGGCGTGGGCAGATGCCTGGTGCCAGCTGGAGAGCCGGGTCCCCCGACACAAAGCAGGGGTCTGCGGGGATGTGGCGGGCGCTGCCTGGTAGTCTGCTGTGCAGCTGGTAGACCTCTCTTGTAGGCGTGGCCCCTGGCCAGAGGTCGGCCTCAGGCCTCCCCTGGCTTCACCCACAGGGCCTGGTGCAACCTGTGTTGTGTGGTTGCATGTCCCTGCTCAGCAGCGCCTGGGGCTGAGGGATGCTGCATCTGCCAGGCACTGTCCGAGCAGTTTCTGCCTGGCCTCGTGCTTCTGCCGACAGCCCTGTGCTGCATCCCCTGTCCCCGCAGGGCTCTGTGTACCAGAAGACCAATGCCGTGTCTGAGATCAAACGGGTTGGCAAAGACAGCTTCTGGGCCAAAGCCGAGGTGAGTGCTGCCGGCGTGACCATGGCCGTGGGCGTTTGGGGAGCGTGCGGCGTGCACCGGGCGTGGCGTGCATGTCTCGGTCGCTCTCTTTCCTCATGTTTCCTGGTGTGCATGTTTCCTCGGTCGTGTTCTCATGCCGGTGCACAGATGGGCGCCCGGGTTGGGGGGTGAAGAGAGGAGGCCGCACTGAGCGGGGGCTGGGCACACTCCCCACAGGAGGAGGAGGAGGAGCGCAGGGCCGCGGAGAAGCGCCGGGCGGAGCAGGAGCGGCAGCGGCTGGAGCGGGAGCTGCGGGAGCGGGAGCTGCGGGAGGCCGCCCTCCGGGAGCAGCGCTACCGGGAGCAAGGCCAGAGGTACAGCCCGGAGGGGAGGGGAGGCCGCCCTTGGGAGTCAGGGTCCCAGGCAGAGGCTCAGCTCTGCCCTCTGCCCTCCCAGCAGGAAGTGTGAGCAGCCGGAAGTGGTTTCAAGGGGCAGAGAGGAGCAGGTGAGACTGGGGTGCTCCAGCCCAGAGGGCTTGTCTTGCGTGGTGTGGAGGCGCCCAGGCGAGCTGCTGTGGGCTGAGGGGGTGCCTAGGGTCCTGCAGCTGGCGGGGGTGGGTGGGAACCTGAGGCTCACGTGGGTGCATCCCAGGTGGCCGTGCAGAGGGGCACGGAGGGTAGAAGCTCCTGGCGTGGCCTTCAGCCAGGTCTAGGGGGGCCTGTGAGCCCCTGCCGCTGGGGGACAGGCAGGCCGCAGGCTCCTGGGTTCCCGCTCCCCCCTGCGTGACCCCCTGCGTGACCCCCAGGAGCCTGGTCAGCAATCAGCTCACCCACGGGAGATTTTCAAGCAGAAGGAGAGAGCCCTGTCCACCACAGCTGTCTCCAGCCCCCAGCCAGGTGAGACTCCCTCTGGGCCCCGCCAGGAGCCACGAGGCGGGGCTAGGCCGCGGGCGAGTGATAGATGTGCCAGAAGGTGACAGGGACAAGTAAGCAAGGAGAACCTGTGCTCCCGAGGCCAGCTTTCAGGAGGAGACCCTGATGTCCCGTCCTTGCCCCTGCCCGCAGAGACCGGGCACGAGGGGCCAGAGACCGTCCAGCCCCAGCCTCGCAAACCCCTGGTCCAACTCACACTGTGGGCCGTCAGCTGGGTCCCAGGGGCCTGCATCAGTCACCTCGAGCACCAAAAGGACACAGGACTAGTCCTGCAGGCCAGCTCCCCGACGCTGCACACACCCCCACCCCAGGGGCTGCCTGGCGCACGATGGCGTGTGCAGTATCCCCATCACTCCCTGTGTACGGCCACCGGCCACCATCCTGGGACAAGCCCGCCCTCCGGGCAGGGGCTGCATGGTCTTACGCCTTAGCCTCCCGCTGTGTGACGTCCTGTTCACTGTCGGTTTGCAGGCAAACTGAGGAGCCCCTTCCTGCAGAAGCAGCTCGCCCAGCCTGAGAGCCCCCTCGGCAGGGAGTCCACCCAGGCCGCCGTGAGGCCCCGGGCAGGCAAGGCTCTCGGCTGCCCCATGGGGGCCGGGGTGGGGAGAGGGGGTGTCCTCCCCGCTCCCCAGGGCCAGGGCCAACCGCGTGCTCCTGTGCAGGTCTCTGTGAGGAGCCGGCACCCAGCGCCCCTGCCGTACCAGCACAGGAAGAAGAGGAAGCCGTGTACGAGGAGCCCCCGGAGCAGGAGACCCTCTACGAGGAGCCCCCGGAGCAGGAGGCCCTCTACGAGGAGCCCCCACCGGTGGGTTCCCTGCAGCGGACGCAGGGCTGCAGCGGCCTGTGCCCTGAGGCAGCCTCTGGGGCTGCACCCGTGGGGCTCCCTGGCTGAGGCTCTCAGGGCGTCTGGGGCTGCTGTGCGCTAAAACGTGTGGCGAGCACCGCCGTGTGGGAGGGGCTGGGTGGGGGCGCCATGGGCTCCCCCACTCACACATGCTGGGCCCTCCTCACGAGCCTGGCGTGCGCCCTGGTCGTGGGCAGGGCCAAGGGAACCCTGACTTCTTTCCTGTCGTGGCAGGCGCAGCAGCAAGATGCTGGCCCCGTGCACGTGGACCACTACCCGGGGCTGAGCGGGAAGGGGCTCTGTGCCCGGGCCCTGTATGACTACCAGGCAGGTAATGTGCCCCCAGCCGCAGGGCCCAAGATGGCAGCCGGTCCTTGGACTCCGGGAGTGGGGACAGACAGCCCCAGGGGGTGTCAGGAGACGGGAGGAGCAGGGTGGGCGCTCCACGCAGCCGGGCCTCTCCGCGGCCCCAGGCAGCTGCATGCTGTCCACAGTGTGACTCCCAGTTGCCAGCCTAGGGTAGACCCTGAAGGTGTGGCCACAGAGGCGGCTCTAGGCGGTGGCCTCAGGGAGCAGGCCGATGCGCTGAGGGACGTGCTGCCTCTGGCCTTTGCTGGAACACGAGCCCAGAGCCAGGCCCTGCGGGAAGGTGTGCTGGGGGACAGGCTGGGCTGGTGCCTGGGCCCCCAATGCAGCGTCTGGGCTCACCCTCCTTGCAGCTGATGAGACCGAGATCTCCTTTGACCCCGAGAACCTCATCACGGGCATCGAGGTGATCGATGAAGGCTGGTGGCGCGGTTACGGGCCGGATGGCCACTTTGGCATGTTTCCTGCCAACTACGTGGAACTCATTGAGTGAAGGCCTGCGTTCCCCTCCACCCCCGGGGCCTCGTGGCTGGAGGAGGCGGTGTGGCAGCTGCACCCAGCACTCTTCCAGGAATGGGCCTCGGGCAGCAGTCACCGGGGTCCCCACACGCTTCCAGCAGCCCCCGCAGGCAAGGGCGTCTGCCTTTTTCCTGTTCCTCGCAGCTGCCACTGGGACCTGGGGACCGTGGGCTCGGCAGTTCATGAGCAGAGGCTGGTCACGGCCGCTTGGGCTGCAGGAGCTGGTCTTTCTAGGTCCTGCTCGGTGCTCCGGCTTCTCTGTCACCCTGCGTGGGCTATGTGCTGTGGGCGGCGGGACGTGGTCGCCCGAGACCCCCGCTGGGTGTGTGGGAGCCCTCACCCGCTGTCTTCCCTGGGTCCCAGCCTACCGCCGCGCTTGGGGCCGGAATTGCCCCGCGCAGGCCCTGGCTCTGGCCCGCCCTAGCCCGCCCTGGCATGCCCTGGCAGACCCCGTGGGAGACGCCCCTCCCGGGGCAGGGTGCGCGTGCCTGCGCGAATGCGAGTCTGCAGTCACCTGGGAGAGGCATAAAGATTCAGGTGTGTGTGAGATGAGCCTCCTGCGCCTGGTTCTCTGGGAGGGGCCAGGGGCCCGCCTTGCTCCCTCGGGGGCCTGTGCCGCAGGCGACAGCACAGCAGTGCCTGGCACCCAGTGGACATCAGGGGGAACTGCTGGGTAGAAGCAGCCTGGGATGGAGGCCCAAGAGGGGGTCAAGCCCAGCGCCCCTCCCTGCCTGGTGGCAGGTGGCCCATCCACTGTGACCCTTGGTCAGGCCAAGCTAAGGCAGGCCTCACGTCCCTGGTTTCTCTTCCATGAAGATGATGGCTGCCCCCCGACACCAGCCTTGGAGACCCCCGTGAGCCCGGTGCCCCTGGCTTTGGGGCCAGCTGTGGTCTTGGCTGTGTGTGGAGGCAGAGCTCAGGGTGCCACCTCCCCTGTAGGGACAGCCCCGGGCTGTGCTTGGTTGCTGTGGGGACAGCTGGGTCACGGACCCAACCCAGGCAACCCCTGGCACCTGATTCTAGAGCAACGTTACCAAGTGGGTCTTCAGCTTTGGGGGTCACCAGAGGGATGTGTTAGGAGTCACCCGACGGCCAGGCTCTGGGCCTCTGAGCGCCGGGCATGCAGGCCACACTGGACTCCGAGGGAGTAGGTGCCTTTATTGCCAGAGCCCACGTGTCACTTGGCCTTGCCCTGGGCGGCCACAGCCTCCATGGCCTTGCGCACAGTCTCCTCGTCGCCCAGGAACCGCATGGGCTTGGTGGGCTTCAGTGCCTGGTCCAGCTCGTACACAATGGGGATCCCCGTGGGCAGGTTCAGCTCCATGATGGCCTGGTCGGACAGCCCTGGACCGGAGGGACCACAGGGCCTGAGCCCCTCCCAGGCCTCCACCAGGCAGCAGCTGCTCTTGCATTTAGCAGGCTCCGTGACCTTTACGAGCCGCGGCTGCTTGGCCAGGCACAGCCCCCCACCCAGCAGCCAGGCCGAGAATGTGCCTGGAGAAGGTCAGGGCAGAGCTGAGGCGGCGGGCTACAGAAATAGCCGCGCCGAGCCCAGGGCTGCTGTGACCTGGGGCGGCGCCGTGGGTCTGTGCCCAACGTGCACTCTGGCCTGACCAAGGGTGTTGGGCTCGGTCTCCAGAGTGCTGAGCTGGGGCGCCCTGGGCAGAGGGGCGGGGGGTGCTCTTCAACGGGTGAGTGGAGGACAGCAGCAGGGCCCCAGGCCAGGGTGGAAAGCACCGTGGTTTCTGAGGAAACGACCCACCGGCCTCCTGCCGGCCTGGAATAGCTTACCCTTTGGTATTTTCCCCCAACCCCACCCCCCACCAAGCAAGGAGGTGAGTTCCCTGGGCACTGGGAGGCCCCGGTCATGTTTCCCGTGTGCCGAGAGGCGTGTGGGCTGCAGGAACCCCAGGAAGAGGGTGCGGGACGCGGTCTACCCGCCCGCTGGGCTCAGCGCCTGCTGGGAGGTGCCCACGTGGACTTGGCACCCGGGGTGGGCGGGCAGGGCCTTGGGCGCCTGCCTGCCTGCATCTGGGAAGCTACCCCTGCCTTTGCTCTCCCCGACCCCAACAAGCATGAAGGCCGCTTGGGCGGACGGGCTCCCCTGGCACCTGAAAACCCTGAGGGCCCAGGTCCTGCCTCCGGGTGCTTCATGGGGAGCCCCTGCAGGAGCCCAGCCCTGGACCCGGCTCTCCAGGCCGCCCCGTGCCCCGCGTCCTGAGTGGTCCTCCTCCGCCTGGAGGTGGTGGGGCTGGGCTGGCGGCAGGGCTCTGCCCTGGGCCCTGTGTCCAGCAGCCAACTGGTACCAGGAGTTGGCACAGGGTGGTTGAGGCCCAGCAAGTGATGGGACACCCGGGGACACAGCACAGTAGGACTGGGAGCCAGGCGCCCCGCTTTCGGGGTGGGTGAGCTTGGGCAAGGGCCCCTCCCAGCGGCGCTGTAGGCCCTGTGCAGAGCTGGGGCCCAGGGTCGGAGGGGCAGGCGTTCCACCCCAGGCTCCCGGAGGAAGCTGCAGAGTGTCCCAGCACGTGTGCAGAGGTGGAACCCCAGTTCTGCAAAGCTCCGTCTCAGACGGCTTGTCCAGCCCTCCCAGTTCAACTGTGTGAAAATCCACCCTAGGCGCTGCCGCCTGCGCCAGGCCGTGGGCACTTGCTGGAAGGAGGGGCTGGACAGGCCCGTGGCTCCCGGTGCCCCACCCACCTCCACCCCCAGTCCTGGGGGCGGGGGGCCTCACCTTCCAGGTGCTTGACGATGCCCCGCAGGCTGTTGCCGTGGGCTGCAATGAGCACTCTCTTGCCAGCCTTGATCTGGGGCGCGATCTGCTCATTCCAGAAGGGCAGGGCCCGGGCGATGGTGTCCTTGAGGCTCTCGCAGGTGGGCAGCTCCCCGGGCTTCAGGCCCGCGTACCGACGCTCCTGTGGGCGCCCGGCCTCAGGTCACACCCCAGGCAGCTCCCCGAGGCCCCTGCCCCCAGCCTTCCCTCTGGCCCCCAGCAGCCCACCTTGCTGATGACACTGTAGTAGGGGTGCTTCTCGTCCATGGGGGGCGGCGGGATGTCGAAGGAGCGCCTCCAGATCTTCACCTGCTCCTCGCCGTGCTTGGCGGCCGTCTCCGCCTTGTTGAGGCCCGTCAGGCCCCCGTAGTGCCGCTCGTTGAGCCGCCAGGTGCGCACCACGGGCAGCCACATCTGGTCCGTGCCGTCCAGGATGGTCCAGAGGGTGCGGATGGCCCTCTTCAGCACTGACGTGTAGCAGATGTCGAACTCCATCTTGGCCTCCTTGATGGCCTGGGCCCCCCTCTGGGCCTCCTGGGCCCCCTTCTCACTCAGCTCGGCATCGAACCAGCCGCAGAAGCGGTTCTCCTGGTTCCAGGTGCTCTCGCCGTGCCGGACCATCACGAGGCGGTGGGTGGACATGGCTGCGGCAGGGGGCCGTGGCGGGCTCCGGACGAGGGCAGCTGCCTGCCCCGTGCCACCCGTTTTATAACAGTCTGCCCCCCTGCCCCCACCCTGGCCAACTGCCAGTGGCATTCCAGGCCCGACAGGCGGCGGCAGGTGGCCAGTAGCAGAACTTTGGGGGAAGGGGTGCTGCGAACCAGGCTTAAAATAGCCTCATAGCCACCAGTCCCCAGTCCAGAGCCCCGGCTGGGGGTGGCCAGGCAAGGCTGGGCACGAGGGGCGGAGGTCCTGGCCCCGCCGAGCCCGAGGTGGGTGCTGGCGGGGGCAGGGGGGCTCCAGCCCTGTCCCCCCCGCCCAGGGCGCCTGCCACACTGGCACAGGCAGGAGGTCCCTCTGGCATCCGCCCAGGCACCCAGCACAGCTGGGACAAGCCTGCATGTCAGCAAGGAAGCACCTGGAGCCAAGGGATGCGTGTGAGCACTGCACGCCTGCATGTGCGTGTGCCTGTGTGGTTCCCCCTGTGGCTCTGCTCGCCTGAGAGCGAGGGCTACATACTAGGGGTGCTTCCTCAGGAGGCTGACCCCTCCCTGGGTCCCCTGTGCGGCAGGCCCGAGCCCCAGCTCCACCCACAGGATGAGCCCTTCGGGAGCCAGTGGCCGGCAGCTGCGCCCTCCCATCCCACTGCCCCTGTGACCGCCCCTCCCCCGGCCAGGAGGCCAGCAAGGGGTCAGCCACCACCTCAGGACTTGGGCCTGAGCGCAGGAAGCTCTGACATGCCGCCCCCCCACACTGCTGCCCATCCGGGCACAGCCTTATACACAGAAAACCACAGGGGACCCACCAAGAGATGGTTCAGTTTAATAAAAAGTACAGCGAGGTTCTACTATACAAAAACCAGCTTTATGCCTACACACTATCAGTGAGCAATCAGAAGATAAAATTAACAAAATCCCCCTTAAATAACATCAAAAGAATAAAATAATTAGGAATAAATTTAACAAAGATGCAACCCTTACATTCGGAGAGCTGTAAGCCATCACTGAAACTGCAGGCGATCTGAGCGGAAAGGCACCCGCGATGCACCCCACGGGCCGCACCCCCAGCCGCTCTGCAGACTCAGAGCAGCCCCTGCCCCGGCCGGCCCTGGCGGGCTCAGGTTCACTCAAGCCAGGGGGACCGCTGGAGGGCTGTGAGCAAGGCCGCCGCCAAGGGACCTGGGCCTGCTTTGAACAGACCTTACAGGAGCGAAGGTAGAGCCAGGAAGCCTGGCTGGGGGTGGCTGAGCCAGGCAGGAGGTAGGGGGTCTGCACCCGAAGTCCTCCGCCCCTCCCCCGCCCACGTGCCCAGCTCACCCTGCGGCACCCACCCTGCACACCCGGGGCGTGAACTCAGTCTCCACCCCCCAGCTCTGCAAAGCACTCACCATCTGCGCCCCCACGGGGAAGGCCCCTGCGTGTCCCCACCACCCAGGGGAGGAGCCTGTGGCCTGGGCCCCACGGCCATGGCGCCCCAGCTCACGAGCAGCGGGCGGGGCCGGCACCCCAGCCCTGCAGAGCAGCGTTTCCAGAAGCGGCCTGGTTTGCTCCGTGTCCTCGCTTCAGTGTGTTGTGGTGGGTGTGCATGAGGGAGTGGGGGTGCACGGGGGGCTGCGCCCGGGGGGGCGAGGGCTGCGGCAGCTCCTTTGGCCCGCGGATGGTCGGCGGCCAAGGGCATCTGTGGGTCTGGCTGGCTGACACACGGCCAACAGGGGTCACGCGTTTCTCTGCTCCGGGGGAAGGTATGCAAGGCCCAGGTGCCTGAAGATGTCTTCCTCTGCGTCCACACAGAAAAACGTCTTCTGTAATGGGAGGGTAGGCCTTGGCGTCCGGGACCGCCCACCAGGGAGGCTCCCCTGAGAAAGGCGGGGAGAGCCTGCCCAGGGTGGGTGCACCTCAGGGCCAGTCCGGGTTCCAGGCACCCCCACCGCCTGCCCTGGCCACACACCTGCTCGGGGTCAAACAGCCCATGGCTGTTCAGCCACAGCCCCCTCTCCTTCCGGCTGAACTGGCGAAGCTCCCGCTCAAAGTGCTGGGGGGAAGCGAGACGTCAGCAGGGCTGCAGCCTGGCCCCGGGGCAGCCCCAGCAGCTCGCTGCCCACCTTGGAGCCGGTCCAGCCGAGCAGAGCAAAGGGGAACTGGCTGATGGGCACGACCACCAGGTCCACGCGCACAGCCTTCCCGGCAGCCCCTGGGGGTCTGGGCAGGCGGAAAATGCAGAAGCTCCGCTCGTAGGTGTCCATGGTGTGACTCCGTCGGGTCCAGCGGGCAGGGTCTCCGCTGTGGGGGCGCTGGTGCTGGTGGTACAGGACAAGGCCCTGGCGGACAGGGGCGGGGGCGGTGACCGGCGCTGTCCGAGCCCTGGGAAAGCGGGCCTGGCGGCACCGTCCGGAGGGGCAGCGGGAAGCCCTCACCTGCTCCTTCAGGCAGCGCATCACTCTGGGCAGCAGCCCCGCCTCCTGGCCCTCCTGGGGGTGGGTGATGAGCAAGTCCACGTCGTGGCCCTGCAACTTCCCCCTGAGGGGCGGGTCTGACCTTCAGGCCGGCCCAGACCCCCGTGTGGGACGGCCCACCCCAGCGGCCCACCCCAGAGCCGAGCCAGAGCGCACTGCAGGCCCCTTACCTCCGGAAGCCACCAGCCAGTGTGACGGTGGCCCCAGGAAGGGCCAGCCCCACGGCCGCCTCCACCGCCTGCTGCAGGGCCTCCGCCTCGGGCCGCTGGACCGGCGTGCCCAGGTCCCGGTGGTGCTGGAGTCCTGCAGGCAGCACGGACCTCCTGACCGCCTGCCCGCCCCTTCTTGCTCTCCACTCTCCCCTCCTCCCTTTTAAACATCAATCTCTCATTCAGAGACAACTGTAGATTCATGTGCAGCTCAAAGCAGAAACAGAGGTCCCCTGGGCCCTCCAGCTGGCTCCCCCCGCCCCCCATAAGCCCTTAGACTACTGGGTGCTGACGTTGACACAGAGGTGCAAACCCTTCTAGTGCCCCGTCTCCCCAGTGGCAACGTGGGGCCGGGAGCTGACAGCGGCTCCACCGCTCGGGAACAAGCACCCCTTCGGCCCAAGCGCGTGACCTCCCGACAGGAATCGCTGCCCCCTCCACCCACGGCAGGAGGGGCCCAGGGCGGGGTCATAGCACATGGCAGCCGCAGGGAGCACTGCTGGCCATTTCCGCTGTGCCTTGTCATGGGACCAGCCGGCGTCACCCCGTGACGCTCCACTGGACAGAGCTCTGCAGGTCTCACTTCCTGTCAACCAACCAGGCGAGTCTCCCGGGCCCTGCAGAAGGCTGCCCCTCCTCCAGCCCGAGAAGCTGCTCGAAGAGGTGGTGGGGGCTGGGCCTCGGGGCTCACCCAGCAGGGCTCCGCGACCCCTCACGTGAACTCTGCTCAAGGCCTGTGACCTGCTGGCCCCGGAGGCACTCGCGCCCTCGCGCCCGTCACCGGGAATGTCGCCCAGGGCCCAGGCTGCTCAGGAGGAAGAGGCCAGGCCTGGTCCAGTCCGAGTCTAGCCAGGAAGCCCTGAATGTCACATGAGCGACTGCGACCACCACCGTCCACGGAGACAGGGCTGCAGCGGACCCTGACTGCGGCTGGTGAGGACCCCGGCGGAGCCCTCGGAAGACGCCAGCCTTCCACCGGCACTCTGCTCCGGGCCCCCAGGCAGCCTCAGCGCGAGGTGTGGGCAGCGCGTGGGCACGAGGGCTTCAGGGAGGCCCGGGGTGCGGCCCCCTCGGAGGGTCACCTGCTTTCTGCTGCTCGGTCAGTCTCTGCACCTGCTCCCGGACGTCGTCCAGTGTCCGCAGCCCTTCCTGGTACCAGCGGTCAGCAGTCCTTACTCCGACCCCAAAGACCTGGGTGAAGAGCTGCTGGGAGGGTGGGCACAGCCTGGTCAGGCCCCGGCCCCGGCCCTGGCCCCCGGACGAGGGCTCCCCAAGCACACGCGCGGCGTCACTGTCACCGCCAGCAGGCGCTCGTTACCGCATTCCCTTTCCTTCACAAACGCAACCTCGACGGGCTGCAGGGCACGCAGGCCTGCGCGGCCCCCATGGCACGCGTGCCTGCCCCGTCGCCGTCCGCAAACACCCAGGCCGGGGCTGGCCCTCCTGCCGCCGACCTCTCACGGGGCGGCTGCCCGTCCCCCACGGGTCTCCCCGGCCCCGGCCCCGGCCCGTCTCTTCCGTCAGGCCAGCCCCTTCCCGGAGTCTCCGGAACTGAAACGCGAGGTTGGGCCCACGCAGCAGCAGAGGCGGTAACGTGCGGCAGGAGCACATTTGGGGGCCACGCAGGACCGGTGGAGGCAGCGGGCAGCAGAGGGGGTGCCCGAGCCAAGCTCCCCGCAGCCCCCCCCCTCCTCCACCCCCTTAGCCACCAGCACGAGCTGGGTCACTGGCACCAACCGAATCCTCCCAGAAAAATGCCAAGAATAACCCAGTCACATTCTTTACAGAAATAACTAATTGTTAACGCGGTTCCCTGCAGGCCCGGGGGTGCCCACGAGGAGGCGGCAGACGGCTCTGCCCGCTGTCCGCGCTGCCCCACTCTCCAGCTCCTGGGTCGCCCCTACACCCCATTCTCCGCCTGCCTGAGCCCCTCCATTCTTCCCACATGGCTCCTCCCCTCCTTGAACTAACCCCGTCCCCAGCGTCTGGCAGAGCCGCCAGGGAAGCCCCACTGCTCCACGGGCCGCCCGTCTGACGACCCCCAGCCCCAGAAGTGGGGCGTCAGAGCGGCAGGACAGGGCGCTGGGGCACCGGCAACCCTGCATCGGACCGAGGTGCAGGGCCAAGGAAAGGTGCGCCGTGGACGCAGGGGGCACGACCCAGGGAAACCAGAGCACGAGGTCAAGAGGGCAGGGGCCGGGCACGTTTCGTCAGGTGCTCTGCTTAGGCTGGCGGAGGCGGTGGCAGACTCACTGCAGACGGCCCATCATCAGCCCAACGAGGGCGGGCAGTGCTGAGAAACCCAGAACATTCCTGCGCCCAACGCAAGTTTTCCTTGTGGTCTGCTAGGCTGCCTCATACACATCAGATGTCAGCTGCCACTTCCTCAGAGACCGCCTGACCCCAGCGGTTCCTTCCAGGCAGCAGCGAGGGGCTGTGAGCCCCGCTGGGGTCCGCCCTGTGCGTACCTTCATGCTCCGGTACCGCTCTGAGAGCCGGACTTTCTCCACCTCCTCACACGCTCCATGCTCCAGCAGCTCCTGTGGCCGAGACAAAGCCAAGCCCAGCCTGACCACAGAGCGGAGCAGGGAGGGGGCCCAGGACCGGCACCCTGCCCTCGGCAGGGCGCTCCGAGGGACTTGCAGACGGAGACTGTGCCCCACGGAGTCTCTCAGAGAAGTCCCAGTATATGTAAACAATTCCTTTTCAGAACAGGTGAGGAATTCAACGCAACTTCCTTTAAACACATAACTGAGTTCGAAAGTCTTTTGTCACAATGTCCTGTCCCAGTGATGTGCACAAAAAGCCCAGCTTTCCCCAGGCCCTCCCCACACAACACGGGCGCCCATACTCGGCCCGTCCGCCACGAGCCGGGCAGCCGGGCAGAGGCCGGCCGTGCCAGCTCCCCGCCTGCAGCCAGGGTCCTCTCGGCCACCCTCGGGCAGGTGGTGTGGCTCTGATTTAGGTGCGGGGTCTGGGGCAGGGTGGCTTGCCCCCGCCTGGGAGCCTGCGGCCCCTCCTCAGCTGGGCTGACCCACAGAGCCACCTGCGGCCACCAGGCCCCGGCTCCTGGACACCGACGCGGGTCAACCAGCCTGCTTCGCTCGGGGCGGGGGCGCCTACCTGGACAACCCTGCGGGAATGTTCTCCAAAGTGGGGCAGGCCCTGCAGCTGGCGCAGGGCTGAGACCCGGCAGGGCAACGCCTTGAGCACTGCGGCCGCCCTGCGGAAGGCGAGGAGGCGGCCCTCCCTCCCTTCGAACCCCGCTGCCTCCGCCAGCACCTCCAGAGCCTCCTGCAGGGAAACGCCCGTCGTGAGGGCAGGGCGGCGGGGAGCCTCGCCTGCCCCTCTTGCTCCGGCCCACCTGTGCCCAAGGCGGGGTCAGGGCAGGTGGGGAGTGCTCGCAGGAGCAGGCCTGGCCCGTGGCTCACCGAGAGGCTGGCGTTGTGGTGTGTGAGGGGCGTGGGGCGCTGGCAGGCGTAGGGTGGCATCCTCACTGGGCTGGGCGGGCCCTCCCTGGGCACAGCTTCCTGGGGGCGGGCAATGAAGAGGCCGCTTTGAGGTGCGGACCTGGCTGCCCCCGAAGCCTCGCGTCTCCTGGGCTCTCGGGCACACAGAACAGTAGGAGCCGACTCTGAGGGGACAGCACCACCAGAGGCCCAGGCCAAAGGCGGCGCTGCCCTGCAGAGCAAGCTGACGATGACCCTTCAGGCCAGAGGGGCGGTCGTGACGCCACCACCCTCACGGGGCACCTTTCCTGCCGGCGCACGAGCTGCACGTGCCCTGCTGCTCTCCCACGTCAGACAGGGGCACTGAGGCCTCCCGGCCCACAGGCGGAGCCGGGAGCGCACGCCCGGCCCCGCTCAGCTGCCCGGCCCCCTCCAGGCAGGCGGAGGCCTCCTGTGGGCCCTCGGGCCCTCACCCAGGGGCCGCTGTTGTCCGCCTGGGGACCGAGACAGGCCTAGAGGTGCTAAGAACACGCGGGCCCCACGTCTGCAGCGACTGCGACAGCAGCCGGGGGGGCCGGCCCGGCCGGCCGTCGGGGCGGAGCCCTTGCTGCCCCCCTCGTCGGTCACTGCCACCTGCCACCTGTCCCAGCTGACTGCCGCCTGCCCCGGGCCTTTCTCGGTGGCCCCACACTGCTCCTCTGCCCAGCTCACCTCCAGGCGGTGCCGGCCCTCCACGGGGACCGGCTGCCCTGCTGCCATGCTCTCCGTGAACCAGACGATGTCCAGCAGCGCCGGGCGGGGGCAGCCTGGCACAGGGGTCGCCCGGCTCTCCTGCCAGCAGGTGGCCTCCTCGGCGGACGTCTGCTCCATCACCACGTGAGTCACTGCGGAGCTGGGCAGGAGGAGGGAGGGTGAGGCCCAGAGCCCCGGCCCGGGCCTGCCCTCCTCCCGGCGCATGCCGCTCCTGCAAAGCTTCGCCCTGCCCGGTGAGCGCTGCTCAGCCGTCGCCGTCTCGGGGAGACCCGCCAGCCCCTTCTGGCGGCGGCCCTCCTGCACCCGCAGAGCTGCGGTCCTCGGCTCCAGCGCCTGGCACAGCCCAGCCGGAGGCTGTGCTGCCCGTCTCCCTCCCCAGAGACAGGGCGCCCTCAGGGCCAGGGCCAGGGGTCTTCCTCTCGCGCGGCGGCCCGACGGCTGGGGCTGGAAGCACAGCTTGCCACGTTCCCCTGGGCACCTCACTCAGCAGCCGCCCCCATGCTCTGGCTTCCTCCCCTGTGAGGCAGAGGTGGCGCATCTCCCTTGCAGGGCGGCTGCAAAGATTAAGTGGGCTCCAAAGCGACAGGGCTGGACAGTGCCCAGCACACACCACCGGCCTCACCGGCCTCTGCTGAGCGGCTCTCCCACACCCTGCGACTGGCTGAAGGAAAAGCCGCAGGAGGGCTGACCCCTGGTTTGCATTCCCAACTTCAAACCTGTGGGAACCCAACTGCCTTCCGCTTGGCATTGTCTCTGCTAATTGTGGGTCCTCCTGGAGCCTCGCTCAAGTCGCTCTCTCAGTCCCCAGGAGAGGGACGGCAAGATGGACTCGCCAAGGCAGAAGCGCTGAGCCGCTGACATGGCCTCTGCCTGCACTGTCCCGGGTCCCACAGGCTCCCTGGCCCTCACTGCTAGCGCCCCTTACAGGAGAGACGGGGGACGAGGCCATGACGACCCTGGGCTAACTTGGGATGCAGGGGCCTCGGGCGCCGCACCCACCCGGGTGGCTGCGTGCGAGTTTTCAGAGCGCAGCACCCCAGCTGTTAACGAAAGGCCGGAGGTGGCGGCGGCCGGGGGTCGACACGCGGGGTTCGGGCCACCGCACCACGCAGCCGGGTCCTCCGGTCCGCCGGGCGCGGCGGCGCGGTCCCACCGAGGCGCGAGGCGGGCGGCCCCGGCCTCGGGCACGCAGCTGCGCCCGGCCGCGAGCTGCCGCCCGACAACGCACCTGTAGGCGTCCAGCACGCGGAAGCCCTTGGACCGCGCCAGGCGAGTGAGGAAGGCCCGGCGGCTGCGGCCCATTCGCGGCTCCACCAAGTAGATGGCGACGCCGGGGAAGCGCACGGCGGAGGAGCTGCTCCCCGGGTCCTCCACCCGCCCCCGCCGCCGTCTGGGAAGCATCGAGCCTAAGCCTCGGGCGGTGCTCCAGGAAGGAAGGCGGAGGGGCCGGAAGGGAGGCGGAAGAAGGTGTGCGGAAGCCGCTGGACGGGGAAGTGGCCCGAGGCTTCACGCCCGGAGGCAGGCCCGCCCCATGCAAATAAAGGCTCCATCGGAGGTCCCAAGGGATTGGGCGTCCAGGTTTCTCGGTGCCAAGGCCCCGCCTCTATGCAAATATACAGGAGGACGCGCCTTCTATTTAAATTACTCTCACGTGAACCGCGTGGGCTCCCAAACCCCCCCCCCCCCCGGCACGAGAAAACGCGCGAGGGGTCCCAGCTGGGCGGTCAGGGGCGGGTCCTCAGCAGGGCTGGGCGGGCGTAACGGCTGGGCGGGAGGGCCCGGGGCCGGGCCGCGGGCCGCGGAGACCTGGCAGCGGGGATCCCGGGACCGCGCAGCGGGGCAGGCGCCGGAGCCTGGAGCGTCTGGTGCCGCGGCCGCTTCCCACCGGGGAAGGTTTTCAGTTGAATGGCGTTGGGACAGCTGGCTCGCCAGCTGGAAAAGGAGAAGCTGGTTCCCTCGGCCCCGTCCCTCACTCCTTGACCCCAAAATACAATCCAGATGAGTCAAACCTTCACATCTGAAAAAGAAACAGAGAACGTACTGGGCAGGCGATGAGTTTTTGCAGTCTAAATATTACAATAAGCCAAAAACACTGAAGGAGAAGAAAGATAGATAAACGACTACACGCAAATTTAAAGAGTATTCAAGTAGCCCTGGGTGGGGTGGCTCAGTGGATTGAGCGCTGGACTGTGACCCAAAGGGTCGCCGGTTCGAGTCCCAGTCAGGGCACAGGCCGGAGTTGTAAGCCGGGGCCCCTGTAGAGGGCGCACGAGAGGCAACCACATGTGGATGTTTCTCTCTCGTTCTCCCTCCCTTCCCCTCTCTCTAAAAATAAATAAATAAAATCCTTTAAAAAATCAAATGTATTCAAATATTACAATTAAGAAGCAAACCAGAGGGAAAAGTGGCTGTGATGTATACACTTTGAAATTAAGTCTAATTCATGCAATTATTAAATTCTCCACAGATAAATAAAGAAAAGGCAACAATCTAGGGGGGAAATGGGCAGCCGCACCAGTGGGCAATTCACCGAGAGACAAGACTCATGAACTTACGCCGTGTTGCCTGACCTGTCCGATCATTACAGAAGTGCAAATACAAGTGAGACTTTTCCACCTGTTGCATTGTCAAATGTTTTTAAAAATCGATCACACTTGTTGAAGGCGTGAGGGAATTGTCAATTTGTAGGAAGGACTTTTTGGAAACCAGTTTGGCAGCCATACCCAGCGAAACCCAAAATCACACCCAGCAATTCCTTTTCCAAGGTTGGGATTGCGCTGAACCCACGGACCAGGTCGGGAAAGCTGACGTGTAGGGACTATTGCCTGTTCCTGTGTCTCTCATTCTGAGGCGCTACATTTTGGGATTTATTACAGCAGTGTAGCCGTGCCCAGACCAACCGGTGGGACAGGCGAGGTGTGGCCCCGGTCGTAGCCTCTCCTCCCTCACTCCACGTGCGGTGGGCCCAGGCTCAGCCCCCCACACCAGCTCCCAGCTTGCCCTCTGGGGTCCCAGGATGCCAGCCTTGTGACCTCTCCCTCAGTGCCCCCCATGTCTCCTGCCTGCAGGGACGGGGGATTCCCAGGGCCTCTGTAATGGGCAAGGGCCTTCCTCCCCACAGGTGGGTCCCACTTCTCCATGGGGAGCAGCCCCCATGCCCTGCGGGCATTTTCTTCTAACGCCCTCTGTCTCTGGCCGGGGCTCCTGCGTTCGGTCCTGCGGTGGCAGAGGCAGCTTTTAATGGCCCGTCACACCCGAGCACTGAAAACAATGGGCAACTTGCAAAAAGGTGGAACACGGTGCCTTCCACAGGCACAGGGAGGTTCCATGAAGGGACGTGGTGGCCCCCACTGCCCGGCCCCAGCAGGCACGGCCACGGGCGCATGCTCCTCTCCTCCCCTCTCCTGCCTGCGCCACCAGGTCACTGTCCAGCCAGCTGGGAAGCAGAGACCTTGGCCCTCTACGTCCAAAACCCCTGGCTTGGGAGGCCCAGATGCCTAAGCCCCCAGCCACCTGTCCTCCCTGCCCCCCGAGACCACCCAAAAGTCAGAGAGGCTGCCCCACCGAGCTTCTGGCGCGGCCCTTCCAGCTGCGCCTCCCCATCCCAGATGTAAGAGCTTGCATTTTTCCAAGACGAATTTTATCTGTTTCCTGTCCCCACGTCCAGCTCTGCAAGGTCCCTGGGGGTCCTTTTTAAGTGACCTCCGGGGAGCTCTCTGTTTGACGTTCCCGTCCGTGCTGTTTGCACCTGTCTTCGGCCTGTGGGGCCCGGACTCTGCCTCAGCTCTCGGGCCGCCCCTTCGGTCAGTTCCAGTCTCCTGATGGTTGCTTGCCAGCAGCATTCTGGGGCACATGGGGTCACCGGTGACCCCACCGGGCTGAGCTCCTGAGGGCCGCTGGCCCCAGTGCACCAGCCTCCAGCCCTGGCCTGGGCCGTCCTGAGCGATCCCTGACGTCACTGTGGGTTTGGATGGCTTGGGGTATCCGTCAGCTCGTCTGACATAACAACAGAAACGTCTTTCTCACAGTTTCCTCCTAAAGCCCCATCTCCAAATACATTGGGGGTTCAGGTTCAGCATACGAACTTGGGAGGACACATCTCAGTCCATAGTATCTGCTGTATTTCTGTCCCATGACCACTGTAGCAAATTACCACAAACCAGGTGTCTTAAAACAGTTTATTCTCTCCCCGTCTGAAGACCAGAGTCGAAGGTTAAAATGTTGACCAGGGGACGGGGTCGGGGAGGTGGGACGGGGAGACCCTTCCTGCCTCTTCCAGCTTCTGGTGGCTCCCTGTGCCCCTGGGCTCTATCCCTGGCTGTATCCCTCCCATCTCTGCCCCATTTCAATGCTGCCTTCCCTCCGGATCTCTGCCATTTCTGATAGAGGCACCAGCCACTGGGTTTGGGGCCCACCCTAATCCAGGATGACCTCATCTTCAAACTCTTGATTACATGGGCAAAGATCTTTACTCCAAAGAAGGTCACATTCGAGGGTCCCCATGAACATGAGTGTTGGGGTCTGCCATCCACCCCGCTCCCCTGAGTCCGCAGCTCTGACTCGGGCTCCGCTCTGGACCCTGAGAGCCTCCGTGACCTGCGCCAGGGGCCGGCTTTCCCTGGCCTGCAGGGGTCCGTCTGCTGGTCATTAGGAGGCCGGTGATGGGCAGCAGATCTGGCGCCTCCACTTCTGCATGTGCTTGGAATTTTAGTAATAAGATGTTTTTAAGCATGTGCACATACATGTAGTGTGATAGGTGCTCCCTGCCAGGCACTGTTCCAGGTACCTTACAGGTGTCTGCTCATGGATGTCCAGGACACTTCTGTCAGTAGGTGACATCTTTGTTCTCATCTTGCCGGGGAAGAGATAGAGACACAGAGAGGTCAAGCAACTTGCCCAAGTTTGCACAGCGAGTGAACAGCAATGTGGGGCTCTTGCCTTGGAAAACACTGCTGCGTCCTCCCGTGCTCTTACCCAGCACCCAGACACCGATGTGTGGGTTTCTGCGCCAGTGGGGTGTCCTACAGTTCCACTCCCTCCCCTCTCATGGGCACACGCGCACACACTTCAGATGCCGACCTTACCTCCCGGTCATCGCCTGCGCTCCTGACTGACCAGCTATAAATTGGGGTTCCTAGGACCCCCTCCTTGAACTGATCTTTGTTAGAACGGCTCACAGGACTTGGGTCAACAGTTGTCCTACTAAATCACCAGCCCAGTACAAAGGACATGACTTAACGGCCTGCTGAAGAGACTGGAAGGGTCCTGAGCTAGGAGCTTCTGTCCCCGCAGAGGTGGCCGTGTGGCCTTCACATGGACACGTTTACCAACCAGAGGCACCCCAAACTCTGTACTTCAGGAATCGGTTGTCATGGAGGCTTCATCGTGCTGCCGTTAACTCTGCCACGCCTGCTGAGGATGGGGCAGGACTGGAGGTCCCACGCTTCTCCCCGTCGATGGACTTTGCGGTGACCAGCCCCACCCAGGAGCCACGCAGTCGCCTCATTACAGCAAAACCCAGGAAACGCCCAGGGATGTAGAAGCTCGAAGACCAACTATTAGAACCAAAGCGGCTCCTCGTGGTCCTCCTACTTAGGGACCCCAGGAGCTTCAGGAGCACTCTGCCAGGAGTCGGGGGGCAGGGCCAGGAGGTGTGCCTGTGCCTCGCAGACACGACCCAGGCTGCCTGGCTCGGTCCCAGACCCCCTGTCCAGGTGCTTCCCAAACGCCGGGACCGTCGACCGATGGTCTGACAAACTTCCTTGTTTTCTCTGGGTAGTGGGTGGTCTAAAATTCAATAAAGCTCATCCTAAGTGTTTTATTTTGTCTGTGTTCTCTAATTTTTCTACAATCAGCACACACCACTTGTGTAAAAAGAACTCTGACGAAAGAAGAGTGCTGGGTGGGGCGGGAGCCCGAGCCCCAGGAGCAGAGGAGTGGCCCCGTGGGGGGCCGGGCGGGGGGCGGGGGTAGGAGTGGGGCAGGCAGGCGGCACGGGCGGTCCTGAGGCTCCCCAGGGCCCCTCCGTGTCTGATGGCCCGCAGCTGGCAGGGTTCCGGACCCTGCCGCAAGCCGGCAGGACCGCCTGGCGCCCGGCCCGCGCGCGCAGTCGGCCGCACAGGTGTGCCCCCCTGTGGCCCTGCGAGCCCAGGAGCCGAGGCTCGCGTAGGGAGCGGCACCTGACAGGGCGCCGAGCGGCCAGCAGGGGGCGCGCCCGGCCTGGGCGGCCCCGATCCCCCGGGAGGATCTGTCCGTCGCAGCTTCCCGCCGGGTCCTCAGCCTGGCGAGTCCCGCGCCCTTACGCCGTAGGCCCCGAATTGCCGTTCCCGGTTGTTCTGTCACAAACCGACTCTTTTGGAGAAGTATTTGCTTAGGTCCGCAGGGGGATGGGGCACAGCTGG